TATCCCACTCTATCATGGATGCCGACATTTGGTTGATTCCCAGGTCTTTGCTATTGTGCATAGTGCTGCAGTAATATGGTGTGCATGTGTCTTTATAGTAGAATGATTTTATAATCCTTTGGGTATATACCCAGTAATGGGATTGCTGGTCAAATGGCATTTCTGGTTCTAGATCCTTGAGGAATCCGCACACTGTCTTCCCCAATGGTTGAACTAATTTACTCTCCTCCCAAAAGTGTAAAGTGTTCCTATTTCTCCACAGCTCTCCGGCATCTGTTTTCCTGTCGTTTTAATGATTGCCATTCTTACTGGTGTGAGATGGTATCTCACTTGTGGTTTGATTTTGCATTTCTCTAATGACCAGTGATGAGGTGCCTCTTTTTCATGTTGGTTGGCTGCATAAATGTCTTCTTTGAGAAGTGTCTGTTCATACCTCCACCCTTCTTGATGGGGTGCTTTGTTTTTTCTTGTAAATTTGTTTAAGTTCCTGTAGATTCTGGATATTAGACTTTGTCAGATGGATAGACTGCAAAATCTCTCCCATTCTGTAGGTTGCCTGCTCACTCTGATGATCGTTTCTTTGGCTGAGACAGAAGGCTCTTTAGTTTAATTAGATCCCAGTTGTAAGTGTAAGGAGGGGCCTAGCTTCTATTTTCTGCATATGGCTAGCCAGTTTTGCCCCGTACATTTATTAAACAGGGAATCCCTTTCCTCATTGCTTGTTTTTGTCAGGTTTGTCAAAAGATCGAATGGTTTGTAGATGTGTAGTGCTATTTCTGAGGGCCCTGTTCTATCCATGTATCTGTTTTGGTACCCAGTGCCATGCTGTTTGGTTCTGTAACCTGGTAGTATAATCTGAAAGTCAAGGCAGCTTGATGCCTCCAGCTATGTTCTTTTGCTTTAGATTGTCTTGGCTATATGGGCTTTTTTTGGTTCCATATGAATTTAAAGTAGTTTTTCTAGTTCTGTGAAGAAAGCAATGGTAGCTTGATGAGAAGAGCATTGAATCTAATAATTTACTTTGGGCAGCTATGCCATTTCACACTTTGATTCTTCCTATTCATAAGTATGAATTTTTTTTTTCCATTTGGTTGTGTCCTTTCTCATTTCCTTGGCAGTGGTTGTAGTTCTCGCTTGAAGATGTCTTTACATCCCTTGTAAGTTGTATTCCTAGATATTTTATTTTCTTTGTAAGCAATTGTGAATGGGATTCATTCATGATTTGGCTCTCTATTGTCTGTTATTGGTGTATAGGAACGCTTGTGATTTTCGCACATTGATTTATATCCTGAGACTTTGCTGAAGTTGCTTATCAGCTTTAAGGAGATTTTGGGCTGAGATGATGGGGTTTTCTAAAATACAATCATGTCATCTGCAAACAGTCAGAAGGAATGGTACCAGCTCCTCTTTGTACCTCTGGTAGAATTCGGCTGTGAATCTGTCTGGTCCTGGGCTTTTTTTGGCCGGTGGGCTATTAATTACTGCTTCAATTTCAGAACTTGTTATTGGTTTATTCAGGGATTCGACTTCTTCCTGGTTTAGTCTTAGGAGGGTGTCCAGGAATTTATCTATTTCTTCTAGATTTTCTAGTTTATTTGCTTAGAGGTATTTATAGTATTCTCTAATGGTAGCTTGTATTTCTGTGGGATCAGTGGTGATATCCCCTTTATCATTTTTTATTGTATCTATTTAATTCTTCTTTCTTTTCTTCTTTATTAGTCTGGCTAGCAGCCTATCTATGTTGTTAATCTTTTCAAAATACCAGCTCCAGGGTTGACAGACACCTCATACAGGAGATCTCCAGCTGGCATCAGGCTGTTGTCCCTCTGGGACAAAGCTTCCAGAGGAAGGAGCAGTCAGCAATCTTTGCTGTTCTGCAGCCTCTGCTGGTGATACCCAGGCAAATAGGATCTGGAGTGAACCTCCAGAAAACTGCAACAGACCTGCAGAAGAGGGGCCTGACTGTTAGAAGAAAAACTACCAAACAGAAAGCAGTAACATCAATATCAACACAAAGGACCCCCATACAAAACCACATTCAAACATCATCAGACTCAAAGATCAAAGGTAGATAAATACATGAAGATGAGGAAAAACCAGCACAAAAATGCTGAAAATTTAAAAGACCAGAATGCTGCTTCTCCTCCAAATGATTGCAGCTCTTCTCCAGCAAGAGCACAAAACTGGACGGAGAAAGAGTTTGACAAATTAACAGAAGTAGGCTTCAGAAGGTGGGTAATAACAAACTCCTCTGAGCTAACAGAGCATATTCTAACCCAATGTAAGGAAAGTAAGAACCTTGATAAAAGGTTACAGGAACTACTAACTAGAATAACCAGTTCAGAGAGAATATAAATGATCTGATGGAGCTGAAAAACACAGCACGAGAACTTCATGAAGCATACACAAGTATCAATAGCCGAATCAATCAAGCAGAAGAAAGGATAGCAGAGACTGAAGATCAACTTACTGAAATAAGGCGTGAAGACAAGATTAGAGAAAAAAGAGTGAAAAGGAATGAACAAAGCATCCAAGAAATATGGGACTATGTGAAAAGACTAAATCCGTGATTGGTTGGGGTCCCTGAAAGTAATGGGGAGAATGGAACCAAGTTGGAAAACACACTTCAGGATATTATCCAGGAGAACTTCTCCAACCTAGCAAGACAAGCCAATATTCAAATTCAGGACATACAGAGAACACCACTAAGATACTCCTTACGAAGAGCAACTTCAAAACACATAATCATCAGATTCTCCAAGGTTGAAACAAAGGAAAAAAATGTTAAGGGCAGCCAGAGATAAAGGTCAGGTTACCTACAAAGGGAAGTCCATCAGACTAACAATGGATATCTCTGCAGAAGCCCTACAAGCCAGAAGAGAGTGGGGGCCAATATTTAACATTCTTAAAGAAAATAATTTTCAACCCAGAATTTCATAACCAGCCAAATTAAGCTTCATAAGTGAAGAAGAAATGAAATCCTTTACAGACAAGCAAATGCTGAGGGATTCTGTCACCACTAGACCTGCCTTACAAGAGATCCTACAGGAAGCACTAAATACAGAAAGGAAAAATCGGTACCAGCCACTGCAAAAAAAAACCATAATATGAAGACCAACGACACTATGAAGAAACTGCATCAACTAATGCGCAAAATAACCAGCCAGCATCATGATGACAGGATCAAATTCACATATAACAATATTAACCTTAAACATAAATGGGCTAAATGCCCCAGTTAAAAGATACAGACTGGCAAATTGGATAAAGAGTCAAGACCCATCAGTGTGTTGTATTCAGGAGACCCATCTCATGTGCAAAGACACACATAGGCTCAAAATAAAGGTATGGAGGAATATTTACCAAGCAAATGGAAAGCATAAAAAAAGCAGGGGTTGCAATTCTAGCCTCTGATAAAACAGACTAAACCAACGAAGATCAAAAAAGACAAAGAAGGGCATTACATAATGGTAAAGGGATCAATGCAAAGAGAACTAACTATCCTAAATATATATGCACCCAATACAAGAGCACCCAGATTCATAAAGCAAGTTCTTAGAGACCTACAAAGAGACTTAGACTCCCACACAATAATAGTGGGGGACTAACACCCCACCGTCAATATTAGACAGATCAATGAGACAGAAAATTAACAAGGATATTCAAAACTTGAACTCGGCTCTGGACCAAGCAGACCTAATAGACATCTACAGAACTCTCCACCCCAAATCAACAGAATATACATTCTTCTCAGCACCACATAGCACTTATTCTAAAATCGACCACATAATTGGAAGTAAGACACTCCTTAGCAAATGCAAAAGAATGGAAATCATAACAGTCTCTCAGGCCATAGTGCAATCAAATTAGAACTCAGGATTAAGAAACTCACTCAGAACCACACAACTACAAGTAAACTGAACAACCTGCTCCTGAATGACTACCGGGTAAATAACGAAATTAAGGAAGAAATAAATAAGTTATTTGAAAGCAATGAGAACGAAGACACAACATACCAGAATCTCTGGGACACAGCTAAAGCAGTGTTAAGAGGGAAATTTATAGCACCAAATGCCCACATCAGAAAGCAGGAAAGACCTAAAATCGACACCCTAACATCACAATTAAAAGAACTAGAGAAGCAAGAGTGAACAAATTCAAAAGCTAGCAGAAGACAAAAAATAACTAACAGCAGAACTGAAGGAGATAGAGACACGAAAAACCCTTCAAAAAATCAGAGAGTGACTTTCAGTTGAAGGACAGAGCCAGACCAAGGTGACCGTACAGGGAAAAAGCTGGGAGAGTGAATACCTAATTTCACTCTTCCCTGTCTCTGATCGCCAGCCCAAATAGAAGCCAGGAGGAGCAGACACCCTGCTGATGGAGCCCAACGAGGTCAGCCTCCCATGGCTGAGAGAAGAATGGATTCTGGTTCTGGAGGAGCAGTCAGAAGATATGGGCAAAAACTTTGTCACAGTATTGGCCACTTTAAAAAATAGATATATTCCATACTTCTGCAGTGAGATGGGCTGAAAATATATTTGAAGCTGTTATATGAAAAGCCACAAAACCTTTCCTAGCTCCAGCTCCCTGGTTGCAGTTTCATGACTGTGGTTCATATGTTTTATTTTTAAATTCACTTTTCTATTACTGTTTTAAAATGTACTTTGTCTAAGATATGTATTAAAGGGCCATATTTTATGAAAGTCCATAAGGAGGCCTTCTTTGAGAAATGACATATCCCTTTTTCTTTAACCATCACTCTCATCCCCTCTTTGGCTATGACATTTCCATTGTTAGCAGTTGGTAGGAACCAGGCCAAGGATCACAAGAAGCCAGGAATTGCTGAGCTGACTGAACTGCCTTTACTCCCCTGCTTTGGAGCACCTGGATCAACCATACACATTTACTGCTGCTTCTGATGATGTGTTTTTACATTGAATGCATTTTTCATGTTGTTTGTTAAAGATATGAAGGGAGAGTAACTCAGATGATTCTATTAACATAATTATATTGAGATAGGACTAAGGGAGAATTTTGGTGTTTGCAAAGAAATTATTTTTAAGTTCTCTTTTTTTCCTGTAGAAAGATGTCGTGTCTCTACTGAGAGCACTCACGATGATAATGCCTCTGATAATGCCGAAGAAAACATGGTAAGGCATTATTTCCTTTATCAAACAATATACAGTATAAAAATGCTTCTTTAAAAGGGTAATCGAAGTTCTGACTGATTCACATATCATCACGCAAGACTTTTATATAGAAAAAAAAACAGCAAGGAGGGGTTGCAGGATAATATAGCACGAAAAATATAATTAGACTTTTCCCAATGTCTATAATTAAACAGGCTCTACTTGCTTAAATACATGGTTGTTCTTCTTGTCTCCTATTGTTGTTTGTAGAGAAGATCTCCAATGGCATTGTGCATATGAGGGTGAGCCAATGTACTTATGATAGAAGCATGAAACATGGGATTGTATACAAGTAGAAAGAAACACAACTATAATTCACTTGCAAATTATAGTTTGATTTATACTTCCTTTTTACTGCATTCCTTTTATTATTTACATGTTCCATTAATCAGAATATAAATAAGGGCTAGGAGTGTGATAAACTTGTTTTTCCCACTGTTAAAAACCCTGAAACAGCTAGTAGGGAGATTAACTGATAAGACTCAGACTTATTTTGTAATGGTCTCATGGATTTTTAATTACAGATGCAAGCAATAGACGAAAGCTTCTTACCGCCCACCCCAAAACACTACTATCATTAAATATTTAAGATATAAATGGTTATTCTGACTTGAACAACAGACATTTAGAGTCTATTTTTCTCGGTTCTAGCGTCTTTCAGGAAGCGTACAGGAAATGAGAGAAGGCCTTGACAACTCATGACAAGCATCCTTAATATCCAGTGACTTCATATCCCCTTTCTGCACTGCAATTCTAGGCAATGGCCTGTCAGACCAGACAGTTCTACCACTGCAAAGACTTGTAACCATTTTCTAGTATCACATTTACTTTTCAAGACATAAGGATCATTCACTGACCCACTACCTGCATTGAGTATAAATGCCTGGATGTTAAGGATTTCAATTTAACTTCAAAAAGAACTGTCTCATTCATTTACATTCCTGTTCCAGTCAGCCCAGGAGGTTACAGTGAGCTCTTCGCTAAGAATCTGGAAGAAATGCATCACTAGGGGTTGGTTCCCAATCTGATCAACTGATAATGGGTGAGAGAGCAGATAAGAGCAGAAGTCACCTTAGTGGAAAGGTTAAAAACCAGAGCCTGGAAACCAAGATGATTGATTTGACAAGGTATTTTTGTCTAGTTTTATATGAATGGTTATATCAGGGTAACCAACTCAATTTGGGATGAATCTTAGGGAGGCCAAAGAGTAAGACTGTCGGTATCTTTAAGATTGCTAGGAAAAAGGGCCCTATCAACATAAGAATCTCTGAAGTTAGGTTACACCTGACCACACGAGGCTTGCATAGTTGATTGACTAGCCATGAAGATAATTTGAACTCTTCTGGCTCAATTGGCATATTACTAATCAGTCTTCTAATAAATTTAGATTTTCATATAAATTTTTAAGCAAGAAGAGAAGCGAGAGCTCAGCTAATCTAATCTGTTTCCCTTAATTTTAATCATCAACTTACGTAAAAGAAACAGTCTACTCTTAATGCTTGTGAACTTATCACTATAACCAGGCTTTTGTGTGACTTAGTCGATCAAGGTTTTGACTCTATAAGAGAAAGCAAATTCTGAATTGTGGTGTAACTTCCACCTGGTCCAATTTTATCATATGACCTCAGTTTCACAATCCTATACCTTGTATGTAGTTAACTCTGTTTTTGCTACAATGTTGTAATGGGTTATCACAAATAGCAAAGTATTAAGAATTCCAGTCAGAATGATGATTATTAAAAAGTCAAGAAACAACAGATGCTGGCAAGGCTGTGGAGAAATAGGAATGCCTTTACACTGTTGGTGGGAGTATAAATTAGTTCAACCATTGTGGAAGACTGTGTGGGCAATTCCTCAAGGATCTAGAACCAGAAACACCATTTGACCCAGCAATCCCATTATTGGGTATATACCCAAAGGATTATAAATCATTCTACTATAAAGACACATGCACACATGTGTTTATTGCAGCACTATGCACAATAGCAAAGATCTGGAACCAACCCAAATGCCCATCAGTGATAGACTGGATAAAGAAAATGTGGTATAAACACCATGGAATATTATGTAGCCATAAAAAGGAATGAGATCGTGTCCTTTGCAAGGACATGGATGAAGCTGGAAGCCATCATCAGCAAACTAACACAGGAACAGAAAACCAAACCATGTGTTCTCATAAGTGGGAGCTGAACAATGAGAACACATGGACACAGAGAAGGGAACATCACACACCAGGGCCTGTTGGGGTCTGGGGGGTGAGGGGAGGGAACCTAGAGGACGGGTCAATAGGTGCAGCAAACCACCATGGCACATGTATACTTATGTAACAAACCTGCACATTCTGCACATGTATCCCAAAACTTAAATTGTTTTTTTAAAAAAGTAACTTACGTATCTTAAAAAAATTCCATTGTGAAGAAAAATTCAATTGAGATTAAGTGTCTGCCATCTCTGCTTCCCCCTAACCTTGGTTCCTTTTAAAAATTATGTCCTAGTGAAAGAATATGATACTTAAAACTGGATGTATCCCCAAGCTGAAGTTTGACTTCACTGAGTATGTGCCTGGGGTGTGCAGAAACAATAGCATCCTGACTTCAGGATTGGTAATATGACAACAGCAAATTTCTAAGAAAAGGTTTGGGATATAGAGATGTTTCCTGAATATAAACACTGGCTTATTAAAGGATAATTCCAAACTTATTTTTTACTGAAGTTTTTAAAAATTACCATTTCAGGAAAAAAAAACCTAGAAAAGTTCCAAGTTAAATATTTTGTGTTTTCTCACTGGGTTGAGACCGATGGTAAGAAGGAGCGACTGCTTTGGATACAGCCTGACATACATCCCTGCTAGTCCACTCTGTGGCTGTGTATCCCCCTCCACCAACCACAAAACTCAAATTTGGTTAGCCTTGCTCAAAATGGTACCCTAATGTTTCAAGAGGATTCACTTTGATCTGTCTGAGCCAACCCTGGCAATTGCAGTCCTCTTGCCACTAGACTGGTTCAGCATAAGAAGGTAAAGAAATCTGTTCCGTAGGATATGAGGAAAAGTATTCCAGAGGTCTGTTTCTGGGAAGGTGTTTCTCCATTTTAAAAAGAGGTTATTGTATGGGGAGAAAATGCTCAGGACTGCTGAAGTCCTCTTACAATGACAAGAGATTCAGACAAGAATGAACCTGGATCCTCTGATACCACTGAGTCTCTGAATTAATCTTCAAGCTACCCATATGAGTCAGGGTTGGATCAGGGAGGCAGAACCAGAGAATGACAGAATAAAGATTTATTATAGAGCTTCAACCTTACACAATTGTGGGTGCTGGTGGAGAAGTCTATGCCAGGCTGCTCCCTCTGCATCTGGTCCTGGGCCTGAAGTCACGGTAGGTCGGCTGTGCATGCAGCGAGGATGAAGGGAAGTCCATAAGAACAAACAGAACCCATGTCTGCCTCACGGCCTCCACTGCAATGCTGTGGATGATCTCAGGAAAAGCTGGTGCTGGTTGCCATGGAGCTGCACACACACCTGGCCAGGACTGTGCAAAGCTGGAGGAGGCGGCTGGCAGGAGCTAGAAGAGCTCTGGGTCCAGGGAGCTGTCTCTGGTCCTTTCTAGTGCCCCTTTTTGGCCAGGAGTCATATTTTCAAGCTGTCACAATGCTTGGGTCTATACACTGACCTTATGAGCGTAAAATAGCTGATTTTTGCTTATCAGAGTAATGCAAAATTCTTTATGACCTACTCCAATCCAGAACCACGAGAGACAGGAATTCCGGGACACGTTCCTCCGGCTGAGCTAAATTGGCACTGCAGAAATCCAGCACATCACCTGTCACTGAATGTCTTGTGTGGGGTTACCTCCATGTTTAAAGTGTGTACCAGCATATAGCCTACATGTGCGTTGATTAGGAGAGTTTTGCCTACATGTTCAAATTGCCTAACTATGGCTATATTTATATCACAATGCTGAGGAGATTTTATGACTTTCATTCCACCACTGCCAGCTCACAATATACATTCATAGACGTAGGGGTGAATCAAGCCAAAGTTGCCTAACTTCAGTAAAAACCATTCACCAACATGCCCTAGTCCCCATGGAGCGTGATTGGTCTAAGGACATCTATGAGTCCTACCCATTAAGAGGAAATATGGACAAAGGATTAAGTATTTATTCATTTTTTAAACATCAGAATCGAAAAAGTTCTTCCATTTATTTAATCTGTCATGTGAAACATTACAAGGTAGTTTACTTGCATTTGAGGATCAAAAAATCCCCATTAACTGTGGAAGCAATGATATTCCCTTTAATTATTTTTCTAATTGCCTTGTTTATATGGTGTGAAAAGCAATTTAAACATGTTTTTAAAAAATGTTTCCAACGCAAGCTAAATTTTTGGCCATGAAACAGCACCTTCCTTGTACTTCTCCAGCTGTTGTCCTTTCAAAGCAGGGGATACTATTCTTTTTGAACCTGAAAAACAGAATGTCAGTGTGTTCTGTGAATTTCCTGTGATTTTCACCAGTGGAACACATGCCCAGAACCAAGCTGAGTCCTTTCCAGAGGTAAGCAGGCCTTAGCCAACTCTTCATTAACTTCAAAGGGAGGCAGGGAATTGAGACAATTATCTGCATTATAGAAAGCAGACCCCGGTAATTCACCCCAAGGGCATGCTCGGTCACTCTCAATTTTCTGCCTGCCTTGTCTTGCCAGTGAAGGCAGCGCCCTCTTTAGCCAACCCCATGAGAAGAAAGATTCTGCAGCCACATCACCAATTTGCTCCCCAGCCCTGACACAGAATTCTTTCAGCAAACCTTTTCCTTGTGTGTATGACAGTTGAGGGATTTTTTTGGCTTTTCTTCTGTGAAGGGGAAACAATTGGTCATTGCACTGCCAAGGAAGGTTTTCCTATTCCTCTCTAGCCTCTCAAAAGCAATTTCTGCTTTACTCACTGTTTTCTTTGTTGAAAGAACTGTGACAAAGTCGAACGCATGGCATCTGTTTTGGAGGCCCTTCGACCTCCTGCAGCTGAATGCAATTGCAGCACATGGGAAGCACCTCCCTAAACAAGTCATTACATGGGGTTGCTGGTGGGCTCTGCAGGGAAGACCCTAAATCCAGTACCACAACACTTCTCAAATTGGGGCCAGAGTTCAAACCTCTTAATTGGCCCTCTCACATAGGACTTATCCTTGAGGCAGCTATTCAGACATCAGTAAAAAATTTCTGGAGTCTCTCAATGAGTCATATGTCTTATATTTATATCTAAGTATCTTCAGTATAACCAACTCTTAGGCTCTCCTCCAAAAGAGATGCTTTTGACCTCCCTTAAGGTTGTATTTATGCATATTATTGGCAACCCTATCAACTTACCTTGCAGGGTTACTAGTAATTCAGTTTGGGCCTGGAAAAATTTGTATAAAATAATCAGGAGTCCATGGAACAAGATGATTTTAAAAAGCACAGATGGATCAGCTCAAAATTTGGAGTGCACTCTTTCCATAGTAGACACATACATGACTTTGTAACATGTCAATATGGAGTTGAAGAGGGAAGATGTTTAAGATTGAGGTAGTGAAGGAAAACAAATGAAAGAGTCTTGCTTTGTATTTCTCTGCTTTATATTCCTGATTCTGCCCAAAAACACAGAGAAATTGGGCTAGTGATGCACCACGTTTAAAAAGAAAATGAAATGATGGTGCCTATGTATGCCAGAAGCTACGCTCAGTGATTTCAGGCAATCTATTAGCTAATATCGCATGATCCAATCTCCTCTGATTCCTTTCTCCTAAAGCCAGACCTCATTTAAAAACTGTGTGTTCCTGGGAAAATTTTAATAAGGAAGCCAAGACTACCTGACCCTACCAAACATTCAGTACATTGTTCTTTGTCACTCTACCAGTAAAATCAGGGCAACGGCCTCTACCATTAGATTAGAAGAATCATTTCATGGACCAAAGAGATATAAAAAGATCCTTTCTCTGTGTTTTCAGGCAGAATCAGGAATATAAAGCAGAGAACTACAAAGCAAGACTCTTGCATTTGTTTTCCTTCACTGCCTCAATCTTAAACATCTTCCCTCTTCGACTCCATGTTGACATTGTACAAAGTCACGTATGTGTCTACTACGGAAAGAGTTCACTCCGAATTTTGAGCCGATCCATCTGTGCTTTTTAAAATCCTCTTCTTTCCATGGACTCCTGACTACCTTACACAAATGAATCCAGGCCCTCAATCTCAGATCCTGCAAGTTAACATGGAAGCATTTGAAAAGTATAAATACAATGTGCATGCCACTCAAATGCTTAGCATTTCATCTACCTGGACAAGTATAATTTAGTAAACATGGGAAGACTTTATTGGAACCCTTTGTTCTTATCTTTTAAAAGCTTTTAAAGAGAAAAACAAATTTCTTGTTATACTGGTCCATGCAATGACATCAGCCCTAAACAAACATGATTGAAGAGTTAGAACAGAGCTGAATACCTGCCGTACCTTTTTCCCAAACTCTCTTGCTTTAATCTTGAGTTTATTGACTTGAGATTCTGCCACCTCTGCCCTTTCCTTCACTTCATTCAACTCATGTTGCTGCTTCTTATACTTGGAAAGGTATTGATTGGCTTGTGCTTCCTATAAAAATAATAAAAAAAGAAATCTCCATGCCTATATAGTCAGGTTTTTTTTTTTTTCTGCTCTGACATGAAAAAGTTGAATAATGTGAAAAGAATCTAAACTTCTGAGTATTGAATGGGATATCGTATTTTGGTATGATATATTAGGATTCAGACTTTCTAGCAGGTATAAGATCCATTTTTTTATAACTTTTGTTCCCTGGAAATTCAGAACCTAGTTGGCACTTTCATCAACTGGATGCAGTAGAACTCTCGCAGACTGAAAATGTGCTGGAATAACCACAGTTGTCTGTTTTGTCCTGAGTTTAACATCCTATTCTACCCCTGAGTAGAGGGGGCTTGTCTTTAAAATTATATGGGTCAACAGGTAATTATTAGACCTTGAGCTAGAATAGGTAGTATTTTAGGCCAAATCATTGAAATGATCAAAACCCCTCAAGAGTTAATATTAGGGATAAATCAATATATATGGCACTTACCAATTACATTCCCTGTAGTTATAGATACTGACCCAGGGATGGCAAGTACATTTCAGTTTATGGTGGTTTTGTCCACAACCATATCCAGGATCATCAAGAACAAATACTGTGAACCATGTTTATGTTTACCCTAGGTTTGGGGATGAGGGAGGCCCCAGGGTGACTACCTTGCCCAAAACCGGCCTTCCCTACATGACACTCTGCTTTTACCTAGCTCATTTCTTGTTGTGCACCTGTTTGGGTGAAACCACAAAGGTAAAGGAGAGAGCTCTGGCTTCCTGGAGGGAAAAGCCACACACATTTTTGCCATGGGTGAGAATTCTAACTTGAGAAAAAAACTGAGAATGAGCAGACTCTAAGCTGAGCTGGCCCTCTCTGACATGCTGCTGGCTGAGCTCAGGGCCACAGATCTCCCTTAATCAAAACAACACTGGGAAATCCAGGAGGCTGCAACTTCCCAAGGCACTCACCGCCACCTCGACTTGCTGCTTGTAATTGTGCACTTTTAGCTGAAGTTTATCCATCTGAGTTTGCATCCTGCTCAGATTCTTCTTGTCTTCCTCTGCCTGCAATACATAGGCACGTATGGGGAAGGTGATTCAGAGGATCCAGCAGTCTACAATGGGGTAGTCTCATGTGGGGAAATAAGGGTTAGGGAACTTTATTAAACATCATCTCAGAGTTGTGGTTTTTAACAATGGGTTTAACTCACCCAAGTTCCAAGAAATTGATAAACAGAACTGTCAGCACTAATGGTCATTTGTCCTGATCCACCAACCTTTGCTGAAATGGGAGTTAAACCCATTAGGTTCAGTTTGGGTCTGAATGTCTTTCCAGCTCAACCAAGCTATATCTGCCTGAAGCTATATCTGTATACTTAAAATTAGTAGTGAATTATCTACTGTTATATTTTACTTTAAGGTGGTGGTGGTGGGGGTGCATTCCAGATGACGAGCTAAATAAAAAGCTATATCTTTATTTAGCAGGAATGAAGTGCATTATTATAAAAGCCACATATGCAAAAATGAAAACCAATTGCTCCCCAATCAAAACAACTATTCCTTTGAACTTTCTAATTGACTCTTGGTTTTGAGTAATAGAACTATAGAAAAGATAAGTTTTCTGGAATTCTGATGCAGACATCAGCAGAGATAGCAACAAAGATTCTACAAGCTGTGGGAACCATGGTGTGCCTATTCTCATTGCCTCAATTACAATCCAGCCTTGGGCTGGAGAAAGGAAATCTGGTGGGATAATGTTTCTCAACTGTGCTCCACAGAGCCTTTGGTATTCCAGGGAGAGAGGAGGCTAGAGGCAGGCAGGTAGATAAGGCTCTGCCTGCCCCCTCTTTCCTCATGTCCCTTTAACTGGAGTATTTCCACACTGGAGCTATTGAACTTTTCAAAGGCAGAAAATACCTCAATTTGCTCAGGGTGGAGAAGCTGATTTAATCAAGAAAGATCTACTGCTGCTTAAAATTTTTTTCTGGCTCCATTTGACCTATTCCATCAAGTATGAACTTTTTTGGCAGCTTTAACGTTCACCCTACTTACCTTCCATTCCCCCCACCACCACGAACCCACTCCAACCAGGTCACATTCTCCTGTTTCCGCAGAGCTCCCCTGCTTACTTTGTCCTCCTTAGGTTTAGCCAAGCTATTCTCATCATCTGGAATACACCCCCACACACACACACCACCACCTTAAAGTACCATATAAAAGTAGATATTAATTACTAATTTTAAGCATCAGGAGACAGGGATGAATATATATATGAAAGAACCTAGTTGAGGAACTGAGACAAGTCTGGTTCAAATAAAATCCCTTCTTTGTTTTTATCTGCCTATCCCTCGACTTCTCAGGTTTATAAAATTCAAAAAATTTGTAGCATTATGTGCTTACAGTAAATTATAAAATCAACACAAGTTTAATTGCTAACAATCAGTTTACTGAGAGGAGAGTAAATTGTTGGTAAAGGAGGCCACACAGAAGAAAACTGAAAAAAGCTAGAAGTGATTGCTGATGTTCCTGATGTCCCTCCCACATGGGAAGGCAAAGCCACTGATGTTAGGCCTAGGTTCCCATCTTAAGCTGTGGGGCATTGAGTAACTGGTGGCCATGGCTATGCACGTCCTAGATTTCCCAACAAGAAAAGAACTTGCCATTCAGCTGTGAGAAGTGCCGTTACCTGATAATCTCCAACTGTAGTGCCTTTGGGACCTGCCACAGCATTAGCATTGAGGCCACACACTTCCTAGGCAGCCCCCAGGCAATGGCTGGGCACAGTGAAGTCACCAGAGTCTGGCCATTTCTGCCCAACATGGGAGTCCTTTCTGGGCTATCTTCATGCTGGATGCTTGCCCAGAGCTGCACTACCGTCTGACACTCTTCCCATCCCCTCTTCCTCCCTCAGCCTCTCCTTTCACGTCTCTGCCCCATCCTGCTTGCTTGCATCTTCATCTTTCATAGATGTCACTTCTAATAGATCCCTTGTACATCTAACTCTATCCTGGCATTTGGTTCCTAAAGAACCCTCTCAACACAGCAACTTAACCAGATTGTATTTCCTTATCCCTAAAAATGATACTACATTCTTGACTAGATGTGTAAAGATTAAATAATATCTACACAGATTCTTGGATGTAGGAGGCAGTTGATGGTAGAACTGAGTAGGTGGGTGGAGAGTGAGGGGCAGAGGAACTATCTTGACCTTCTATAGCAACTACAAGTACCTAATCTTATGTTCTGCTTTATAGCACATTTTTCTAGGTGCTGGAGAGAGAAAATAGGACAAGTTTCCAAATGCTAGGGGGATATAAAGGAGAGGATAAATGCGGCATGGGGACCAGTCATAGAACTGCCATGGAGCGGGACCACACTTGACTCCTTTCCAGTAGCAGAATCTTCCCAGAGGACTTCTCCTAAGAAAATGATATTTGTGCCCCTTTCAAAATGACACTTTTAATTGCACCTAGGAATGGGCTATCACCAAACACCCTGCCTCCTTGTCCTGGTGGTTATTTTGATGATCGAAATGACTCAGCATTAACCTTGAACATTTCAAAACCAAGTACCAGGAAATGTGGAGTGTCCTCTAATGTCTTTTTAAACTTACAGGGTCTAGCCTAATAGATATTAGCTGATCTGATGGCAGAAAATAGGCCTATCTAAGCATTCTGCAGACACCTGGAAGAAATTAATAAATGCACCTCATTCTAGCACATGAGAAACACTAGGATTATTACAATGAAGAAACAAGGGTAAGGCACAACAGAACAAGAATGCATTCCTTGGGACAACGAAAACCAAAAAAAAATATGTAACTTTGGTTTTTTGTTTTATAATGAAGTTGTTTACAGAATAAAACAATAAGAATAATCAATAGGAAAATAAAAAGAAAAATCCAGACATTAAAGCAGCATTTCACACCATCAACACGGGTGGCTTCTCCACCCTCCTCAAAAGAAGAGTAGAATAGCAAACTTTTAAGTTCCCAAGGTGTTTACCTACTTAGCCACACACACCATGGGCCCACTTCTCAGTGGCTTTGATATACCTAGCGTGGTCTAAAGAAGTGTCAGACTAACTCATCTTACAAAAGGAACCACTTAATAATAAAAGAGCTGTGCAAGTAGCTCATTTCGTCTTAATTAGCCCAAGATGATGCTTCTGAAGTGCTGTGCTTTCTTATCTATCCTTCCTGCTGCAAGGGAAGAAGACTTTGACATCTTTAACAACTCAGCCTCAGGAACCAGAATCAGTACTAAGCAGATCTTGCATTGGCTTTGTCAAAGAAGCTGTAAAAATGGGTGCCTAAAATGAATTTGTCTTTGTATTGGAATAAGCTATCATGTGCAGTGTGAGAGAGCTGGGATGAGCTATCATGTGCAGTGTGAGAGAGCTGGGATGAGCTATCATGTGCAGTGTGAGAGAGCTGGGATAAGCTATCATGTGCAGTGTGAGAGGGCTGGAAAGTGACTTATAGCATCTGTGTTCAACAATGGAAATCACACATCTACTGTGTGACAGGGGGATGCCAGACCCTAGAGGGGAGAACAATACAGTGCCTCTGCCATCAAAGAATCTATGTTGACTGCATTAGAAAGAAGGAAGCAATGATTGAAAGTGAAAATGTAAATGATGATATTTTTACTTTAGAAATGCATTAGTTACTTGTAAGAAGTCTGCCCACCTCTTTTCAATTATTGCTTGAGACCAATGTTAGTCAACAGGTGAGATTCAGAAAGCTTCAGAGGTCTCTCTTTAGTGTTTTGTTTCCACCTGGCACTAGCAACAGTGTCCTCAGTGGCCTTGAGTGTTTGTGCAACCAGAAAATAGGAGTGGAAATGCACCCCGCTCCAATTGAGTCAGCATCCCATGTAACCTGCCAGCTGGGTAGCCACCCGAGCCTCTGCCATTAACTTCATTTACACATTGTTCTCACTCAGCCACTCACAGGAAGGCATCTTTATGAAAGCACTGCAAACACTATGTGTGAAAAAATCCAGATGGTATAAATAGCTTTTCACTTCTAATTGCAACTTGCCGCTCACATTTTGTTTCCTGAGAGCTCTGAAAAGACTGATCCAAACCACTAATAGCACAGGAGCTCTGGGAGGGTGAGTCAGTGTCTACTGCTGAAGGAGAACAAAGATGAAGAGAGAACTGCAGGAGTCCCAGAAGGCCATTTCAGGCTTGAAGGAGCACTTTTCTGCAGGGTAGCGCCCAACCAGCCAAACAGGGAATGGTTTCCCAGAGTACCTGATAGGTCAGCTCTTTGATGCATCGCTCAAGTCTGCGGGCTCCCCTCTGGGCCTCTGCGCTGCGACGGATTTCACCCTCCAGTTCACCTTCCAGTTCATGAACCTGCAACCAAAACGTGACCTCAGACCACACGCTGCCAGCAACGCTGGTCTTCTATTTGCCAATTGGCACAATCATTGGAAAGACAGCAAAGTGTCAAGGGAACATGCACACACCATTTCTGGTAGTACTTAGACAGGACAGTGTCTCGGGAAAACTCTCTCGCCAAAAGTAAGATCTTTTATGGATTCATAAAAGAACTGTTTAGACTGAAATATGTGAAAGGCTAATTCACACAGATATGAGAAGCTTTTTTCTTGAATTACAAAATCACACCCAAAGTGTATGCATGAATGTATATGTAAGTATAGAGAGTAAGCAATGTGTAGCCCACTTGAGGATTTTGTCAACATACTACCTAATCTTCAGCTGCTTTCTCTACATCCAGCTCTGACTCTCTAAAGAAATCGGACGCTGAGTTTATGTCACATGTATGTCACGCACAACCCTACAGTCCCGCTTTGTGGGAGAGCTATCACACAGACAAACTGCCTGCAGCCTTACAGAATTACACAAACGAGCTTAACATTCATTCAACGCAGGTGCCTACTACATACCACACCCCAGTGCTAGGATACAGCAGTGAACAAAACAGACAAAAATCTCTCCCCGGAATTAGCATACATTCTAATGAGGGGAAGCAGACAGACAAAACAAAGTAAAATGTAGGCTATGTTTGATGGGGACAAGTGCCACAGAGAGAAATAAGGCAGGAAAGGGAGTAGGGAGTTGATGTTCGCTGCTCCCCCTGGCTGGGGGGCTCTTGCCCAGGTATCCTCTTTTCCTGCTTTCTCCTTGACGCCAATGCCACCTTCTCCAAGAAGCCTTCCTGAGGACGGGAAGGCCAGTGCCCTGTGCCTAGCGCATCTGACCCCACCTCTTACTCCCCACTGGAGCCATTCTTCCCTCCTGTACCTCCTCAGAGAGGTGCAGTGTGAAGGGAGGGGAGCAAATGTGCAACTTCCTTGTGGATGAAGCCCATTTAAAGCAATCTTCTGACACCTGTCATATAGGAACCTGACACACAGTTCTGTCTGTCGGGATGTGAGCTCTCACAGGCCCTTCTACTTTTTTTTAAGCACTTGTTAAGAATTTTGGGGGGAATTAAAGTGATTAAAACACCTTGGGGAAAAACTGCTCTACTAAAGCAAATCCTAGACATCATGTAATTCCACCTGTAAATACTATTGGATATCATTCTAACAGGTAATGATGGCACCATGGTTGTGTCTTTAAGAATATTAACCATCATTCCTTAGTATTATCTGATATTAAGGAGTTCATTGCTGGTCATTACTACTGAGTTATCACTGGTTCTAGGCCATAATAGTGAACAAACAGCAATTGAAAATAAAATCTGGAAATCTTAGAATTGAGTTGGAAAAAACAGTTTCGTGTATTTTTTAGGGGGAAATGCATACTTTTAAATGTTATACCTATATGCCATTTCTCTTATACCAAAAATCTTGGTTCTTATATATGTCATTGGATAAACAACAGTCTTACTGCTAATAGCAATTAAATGTTGGCATTTTGAAGTTATAAATGCATGGTTTTAGCCATTCTCTTGTTATTTTGTCCTTATATTGAGGGATGTATGGACAAAACACTATGTTTAAAGGTCACTGAGAATAATTCTTACTTGTGTATGTTTAATGCCCCCAATTTAATATGTCATTAACTTCATTTGCTTCCACTGGTGTTAAAATTTTAGGGACTGCTGAGTTTTTTTCTTTGACTTAAACTTGTTTTTTTAATTATAAAGTATGCAAATGATTTATATGATTTTCCAATCAAAACAGTTAAACAAGATACATTATGAAGGACCGACTGTCATCTCTGTGTTATCCTCTTATAGATAGCCATTTTTATTTTTCTGATTTATCCTGTTACCATTTCGTTTTGAAAATACAAGCAAATGTGTACACCCTCATCTTCCCCCACTTTCTTGAACAAAAGGATATATGCTTTCCACATTGCCCTCACTGTATGACTGTATGGAGGTCCCCGAAATGTACATTGGTATTCCATGGTATGGATATACCATAGATGTGCAAAGGTGATACCCTATTTTTCAGAGGCCTTTTTGAACAATCGAATCCTAGTTGAATATTCTTTCCATTCTCGTAGCATTTATCATATGCCTTGTCTGTAGTCATTAAAATGGATTCAATAATTTTACAAATCTTATTTTCAAGATGAGTTACTACTTGTTTTTAAGCTCCCTGAAGGCAGATACTACATCATTTCTGTCAGTCCTTACTGTATCTTCTCTGAGTCTTTCTTGATCATTGATTTAGTTGTTTTCCCTCTCCTTTCTCTGGCTGTCAGAAAATGGGCATTCTCTGCAGAGGAAATAACAGGAGCAAAGGCACAGAAGCAAGACTGCCAGGGGTGTGTTTGGAAATGCCAGGTAGCCCTGGAGTGAGAGCCTGGAGCTGGTGAGGTGAGCAGGAAGGGCTGTGTTGTTAGTTAGCAGGAGGGAAGTCAGATTTCATCCAGGCCAAGGAAAGTCCTATGTGCTCACCCAAAGTCAAGCAAAGAATGAATGCATATATTGAGATCTGACACTCTTAAAGATCTGAAAGTGCTAAAATCAAAAGTGATAAAGGGTGTGTGTGTTGAGGGGCAGATCTGGTGTCACATTCCAGGACAAAGAGGTCTTGAATTGGGGACTGTCAAGCCCTCATGATTACCCAGACTCCTACCCTGGATTCTAGTTTCTGGATTTGTTTTCTACTCCCCATCAGGGCCGTCTGTTCAGCTTCAGCCAGCCTTGTCTGTAAGTCTGTAATTGTCTGCTCCATATTTTCTCTCGTCTTTTCCAAGTGGGCAATGGTATCTTGCTTCTTCTTCAGTTCTTCTGACAAGTTTGCTGCCTGGGGTGGGGGAGAGAGTGAAAAAGGGACTGAGCTAGTGCAGCGGTAAATTGATCTTAACATTTTTACCCATGATCTTCAGTTCCTGGTCTGACTGGCTGCCACACCTTGCCTCTGTATATGTGATCTCTTCCCATGATAATCTCCCTAACCACTACCACCCTCGAGTTTGTTAACAGTAATGCAATAGAGACAGCAGTAGCTACAGGAGAGAACAGGGTAAGGAGTGGTGGAAACAGACCAAAGATGAAGAACCATATGAACACTATTATACAACGCCTGTATTAAAAGAAAGATGACCAACTGAAGCAATGGCTTCTAATTGAATAAAGTACTGGGATGATTGATTATTGAATAAAGTAACTTGTGTCACATTAATGAACCAGGAAAGATATGGAAAAGTGCCTACAAAAATCTATTCACATCTCACTTCTATAATTCTGTGACTCACTACACAAACAAGTTTGGCTCCAGGAATTTGGCAGTAACAGATGCTCTCACTGCCAATAATCTGGCATGAAAAAGGTTAATTGTGAAGCCTGCTCTTGGCTTTGGCTATGTGTACGAGGGCTTGATGTCTCGATGCAATCATTAAGAACTGTTTTGAGAATCTCTAGGTGCATTTAATGTAAGAACATGGCCCTCACAGCCAAAGCTTTTCTATCAGGTTACCAACCATCTGCAGAATTTAAGTGTGAGACTTTCATGCAGATGGTGAGGGCAAAGAATGAATTACGTTCCGTGATGTGGGGTTGGGACTCAGAGTTAAACTGTAGGAGGTTTGGAGGGTGGGGTCAGAGATAAGTTCACTTTTCAACACACTGTCAAGAAAATCTTATCAAGGCAAGATTAAGCAGACAGCATCTTCATAATGTACGATTGCATAAATTTATCAAACAGGAGCACCATTTTTATTCCTTTCTACCTATGTGGATTTTCATAAATGTTACACATATTTGTTCCCTTGGCCATCAAACATCTTCAAGGTTTCACACACCTCGTTTTCATCAGAGATCAGAATACCTGCCTTGACACAAAACGGAGGAGTGATAGGCATGGTTGCCCATTCTTAGAGGGGGCTGGGTTCTACAATGATTAGGTGGTTGGGATTTGGTACAATGGTTTTGTTTAGTTCCGCAAGTGTTAAATAACTTGAGCAAATACAGACACAAGCTCTTTACCTCCTTTGAATTTTAAAATGACTAACATAAAATATAATCAAATGTCCTGTCTCCTAGTTTAGCAGGGGGGATCTGCTTCCCTTCCTGTGGGAGGATCAGGGCTGTTGCATGTGGTTGTGCATTTGATGGGCTGCACAAAAGCTCTTGATGGAGAAGGGGTGAGCAGAGACAGAAACCAAGCCGGAGCCCCACTCTGCAATGGGACCTTCAAAGCTGAATCTGCCACACACAAACCTCCCCCTCCACTAATATATTTCTCCCAGTGGTACCTTCCGCTAACCATGCCCTCTGAGAGAAGTGCTGCATCTGCACACAGGAGGTACCCAGAGGGTGGCCTTTTTTCAGTCCCTACAAAGGTTCACCAAGGTTGGCAGCCAACTCTGAGTTCAACATCATTTAGGAAAATCTCTGCCATCAACAACTGGAAAATAAAGAAAGTATAGCAGCCCTGAAACCCTTTTTTACCAACCTGATTTTGCTCTTCAAGCAGTAGTACAGGTTGTAAAAAAAAAAAAAAAAAAAAGTGAATTAAGCATTCTTTCCAAATCATCATCATAAAACTGTTATAGACCCTAGGAAAAATAGCTTTTTGTAAGAAAACACAGAAAGAATTGTTTCTAGACACTAGATATATTGATTCACAAATGAAAAGTGGCTTAACCGAAACAAAAGAAGACTCCTGCTTCTTTTGTTTATATATAAGGTTTTGCTTATAGCAATTCAACTGCTCCTTTTCATCACCAGGGTATGTTAGTGGGAGGAGCTAATTGTCCTAATTTTTCAAGATGAGAACAGGGAGGCAGAGAGGTCAGACTAACCTCCTCTTGGCTGTATGGGAAATCAATGGAATACTTTTTGGCTGCAGATGTGCCCCTGCCCCTTGGCCACTGCGCCACTGAACTCTGGGAGACAGGATTGAGTAGGTGGTCAATGGACCCACCTCAGTGGCTGCCTTCTTGGCCTTCTCTTCTGCATTTTGACACTCCTGCACCACCTCTTCAGCTTCTTTCTGCATCTGGGCAACATCAGCCTCCAGTTTCTTCTTCTGGCTGAGGAGGCTTGTGTTCTAAAGAAAAGCAGCATTCCTATTAGGCAAGTAAAAGCCAGCAATGTAAATGCAAGCTGGTCTGTTCAGGACATGCAATGGGAGTCAGCTCTGGCCAGAAGCAAATTTTATTATAGTGAGCCATATTCCCTTAAGCTATGCTCCCAACCCCAAAAGGCTTTTGCCATCAAACTTGAATGGAAGGGATTTCACCCATTAAAAGTTCAGGACTAAAGAGATTGCAGCCTGAATCAGAAGGGAGGAATGGTATCTAGATAACCTACAAGCCTCAAACATGCGTTTGGTTTTCAATGGGTTGAGGAAATGTTTCTCTGCCATTTGCTTTTGGATGTGGTAGAAACAAGTGTTCTAGAGCAGAAGTTGGGGTCAACTGCAGACATCTGAGGGGCAGAGGTTGGGGAATAAAAATTGTAACTCCCAGTATGCTGCTCCAGAAACAAAAAAAATCATTCCTCTTCTTTTTCTACTTCCCTTCCTATCTTACTTTACAGTGAGGAGGTGGGGAAAGTAGTTCAGAATAAGCCTCCTCCTCCAGCCCTTAGGTACCCTCATTACCACGGAGGATTCTTTGTGTTCTATGGTTGGTGCTGCCCTAATTCTTTCCTTCCTGAGTTGTGACACTAGAGGTCAAATATCCTTTTGCTGCTATTTGGTCTGTGTTTGAAGCCCAGCTTTTCTGAGGGTGTGAAAACTCAGTGTATATAAAAGGCATAGGCTTTCTATTTTTTTATTTCTCCTTTCACTTTATCCGTTTCACATTCACTTGCCTCTGGCTGGTGCCTTTCTCAGTAGCACGATGAAGACTTGGAAATAGAAAGATATGCCAGGCCAGGTGTGGTGGCTCAGACCTGTAATCCCAGCACTTTGGGAAGCTGAGGGGGGTGAATCTCCTGAGCTCAGGAGTTTGAGACCAGCCTGGGCAACATGGCGAAATCCCATCTCTACCAAAACTTTTACCAACAATAGCTGGGTGTGGTGGCATACACCTATGGTCCCAGTTACTCGGGAGGCTGACGTGAGAGGATTGCTTGAGCCTGGGAAGCGGAGGTTGCAGTGAGCTGAGATTACACCATTGCACTCCAACCTGAGTGACAGAGTGAGACTCCGTCTCAAAAAAGAAAAAAAAAAAAAATAGAATGATATTCCAGCATCACTGGTTCTATCTACCCCACTTTCTCTATGACATGAAGCATCTTTATCGAGACTGCCATCTTTTGTCCTTGTGGAAAGCCAGGCCCTGGATACCTCCAAGATTTCCACTGCCATGGCCTGAGAGATGGGGTGGAAATAAGTTGTATTTTCCTGAAGTGTTTTTTGGATGCTCACAGCACAGACCATATAGAAACTATTTCTTTGTAGAGGAAGGTACAAGTACAAATGCTAATTTGTTTGTACATAGAATCATTTAAAATTTGCTAGGGAGACAAGGGCTTAAATCTTTGCAAACTGAATTACTCTCTAATTTGTTATTTTTATTTTTTTAGGAGAAAGGGAGTTAGGGGGTGTTTTGCAGAAAGGCAATCTAGATTGTCACAGCTCAGGTTTGAAAAAGGCACTTGTAATCAGTCAAAGATAAGTTTAGCCTCATATGTTAGTCCTAGGCTAGAGATCTGGAAATGCAGCAGGTAGCTAAGAAGGCTCCCTAAAAGGTTCAATATGTTTTGCTCGGTAATGTTCTAGTAACTGCATGGTGCCCCAGCATGGTTTAGGTTGAGGAGAGGTCCTTGTGAATGATATAATATCACCTAGACCAGTGCTGGTCAAAAGGTACTCTTTCTATGAGCAGTAGCACCTGAGAACGTGTTCACTTTCTAGGTCCCAACGCAGAGCTTCTGATTTAGTGGATCTGGGGTGAGATCTGAGAATTTACATTTTTTTGTGTTAGGGATTCTTATATGTACACATCAAGTTTCAGAAACTCTGCCCTAGAGATCAGGTCTCCCCTGCCTAATTTTCTTCTTCCCCAAATCCTCTCCTCTCTATGCATGCTTTTTCTGTAACTGATCCTCATCTCTCTCTAGGCTAGTGATTTTGCATCATATTGGATCCCACTGGTGCATTATTATGTATGATATGCATGGCAAATGATTTGTTACCAATAGCAATTAAGTACTATAGACCAGTGGTCCCCAACCCTTTTGGTTTCATGGCAGAAAATTTTTCCACAGATCAGGTAGGGGGGTTGGGTTGGGGGATGGTTTGGGGATGAAACTGTTCCACTTCAGATTATGAGGCATTAGATTCTCATAAGGAGCATGCAGCCTACATCTCTCACATGAGCAGTTCACACGAGCGTTTGCGCTCCTATGAGAATCTAGCGCTGCTGCTGACCTGACAGGAGGCAAAGCTCACTCCCCTGCAGCTCACCTCCTGCCATTGCAGCCCAGTTCTTAACAGGCCCCAGACCTGTACTGGTCTGTGGCCCAGGGGCTGGGAAGCCTTGCTCTAGACAGTGGATGAGTTACTTTTTTAAAAGTCTATAGTCCATTTTATAAGAATCCAACTCATTGTATTTAAACTTTCTTGAAGAAGAAAAAAAAAAATGTTTGAGTTAGTTTGTTGGGAATTATCTATAACCTACAGACTATTTGTTCTATACCACGTGGTACCCAGATGGGATTGTGTCATAGACAGGGAAAAAAAGGTCAAACTGTAGGCACAAACTAATTGCAACATCTTTCAACAGGCACATTACTGGTTTATACTTTCTTTTATCCAGTATTTTTCAGTAGGGGACAACTGGCACTCTGGAAGGCGCAGTTCCTTGGGCTATCACCTTGAAGGAGTTTTGATGTCTCTGACCCTACTCACTAAATGCCAGTGGTATTGCCCAGTCACTGTGGCAACCAAAATGATCCCACAGATAGTTCTGAATGCCCCAGAGTGTAGCAGTTCTGCCCTTAGGTGCTTTAAACTGTCCTTCACAATAATCACCAGAGTAAAACTTCCTAAAATGCAAATCTGATAAGTTCACTCTTAGCTACTCAAAATTCTTCAGTGGATCTCCATGAGCTGCAAGACAAAATTCAAATTCCATCAGTCTCAGGCTCAGGGTCCCTGGTGACCTGGCCCTGCCTATCTCAGCATGATTTCTGCTCCTTCTGGCTATTCACCCAATACTCTAGCATGTGAATTTCCCTTAGACTCATAAACTCCTTCCCCTCACACCCCATGCCTCTGCCCTTGACTTTTCTCTCTACCTGGCTGGCTTCTTAAATGTTCTTCATGACTCAGACGAAGCATACTGTGCATCTACCTAACTCTTGGATTGTCAAGGAAGGCCTTCTGTAGGGGTGTGCTTGCTCTATCATTATACTCCTAGCAGTGTACTACAATTGCTTAGTTCAGTCTTCATTTTTTTAGGACAGTGGAGACATTCTGTGTCTACATCACCCATACCAGTCCAGGTTATGGGGGGGGGTGCCCTATAAACACTTATCACACAACCCATTTACTGTAGATGCTTGTCCTGGAAACTATGGCTTCTTCTGATTCTAGGAGAAGGAGAAGGATTTAAGAATTCTTGCTTCATGTCACTTACATAACCTTCCATTAGAAGCCAGAGTCTGGACAGCGTATCATATCTGTCAGCAGCCACTCAGAACTGTCATGGCTTTCCTGGCTCCAAGGCGGAGCACTGTTTTTATTCTGGGATGCTGGGGAAGCACATGGCTTAGAGAGAGCAGGAGAACCAGGAGCAGGAGTGGTTCTGGAACATTAGGCTATGCTCATCCCTCCCTCCCCAGCATCCTGGCTGTGGATGCCCTGACAATCCATTCTTCTGGCATAAGGCTTATTGTTATGGGTTGAATTTTGTCTCACACACACACACACACACACACAAAGATATGTTGAAGTCCTAACCCCCAGTTTATCAGAACGTGACCTTATTTGGAAATACGGTCTTATTTTGTTTAAAAGGAAACTAGAAAAAAGCAGCGGGGTAAACGAGTTAAAATGAGGTCATTAGGGTAGAACTTAATCAAATATGACTGGTACCCCTATAAAAAGTAGCAATTTGGACAGCAACAGACCCTCACAGGGGGAAGATGCTGTGAAGACACAGGGAGAACACTATGTGAAGGCAGAAGGTTGGAGTGATGCATCCATAAGCCAAGGAATGGCAAAGATTGCCAGTAAGCCACCAGAAGCTAGGAAGGGGCAAGGAAGCATTTCCCTACAGGTTTCAGAGGGAGCATGGCCCAGCTGACACTTTGATTGCAGGTTTTCAACCTCCAGGAATGCGAGAAAATAAACTTCCATTGCTTTACGCCACCCTGTTTGTGGTACTTTGTTATGGCAGCCTGAAGGAAATAACATACTTGGGAATAAATGAAGAGTATGACTGTGGCTCTGCTGCACAGCCTGTTTCTGTGCTTCACAGGCATATCCAAGACTTAACAGGGCGATTGTGCATGGTCCAAGGCTGCAACTGCATGGTCCAAGTGTGGGAACCACTGCCTTCAACCAACTGGCCCAGCTAATACAGAGAGTATATGGGCCCCACCTGGGTATAGAAAAGATTGATTCTTTCTGTTGCTTCCAGGAGCTCTTCTTCTGACAGCCTGCGGCCACGCTCTGTCTGCTCTTGCAAGGACCTTAGATCCTCTAGTTCAGACTGAAGAAGAGAGTTGCGCCGCTCAGCCACAGCCACCTGCTCCTTCAGATCACTGTTCAGTTGTGTGCTGTCATCCAGCTGCATCTGAAGGTCCTGTGAGAGAAAAGATGGGCCTGGAGTACAGATCCCTCTGAGTTCAACACAGACTATGCACCTATGTATGCATGCTCTGACCATAGGTCTACGTATTTAGACATAAGCATGCTCCTTCACTCTGGAAAGATTGTATTTGTTGTCCTCATCTTTATTGCTGAACACAACAATCTGTTGCTTAGTTTACTTCCATAAGCAGAAACATTTTCCACCCCTCCCTACCCCATCTTACAGTTTTAAAATACCTTGATTTGAATCTGAAGCTGGCCCAGGGATTTGGTTGCCTCTGACACCTGCCGGTTGGCACAGCTAAGCTGGAGTTCCATCTCATTGAGGTCCTCTTCCATCTTCTTCTTCAGCCGGGTAGCCTCAATTCTGCTCTTAGCTTCAGAATCCAGACTAGACTGCATGGAGTCAATGGTACACTGCTGTTTCCTCCTAATTTGAAATAACAGTTGAAGTGGGGGAAATGATACATCCAAATTAATCAAATTCACCTGCTATGTTTAAAACAGTACAAGAAATAGAAAAAATAAACTAAAATCCAAGAAAAATTTTAAGTAACTAACAAAATGAGTCTAAGGTCTTTTATTTTAAAAACAGAGAGAATGAGAAGTTAGGTTAGTGAGTATATATCCACCATAATGGACTAAGTAAGGTTTCCAGACCAACTTCCCTGAAGAATCCAGGAAAATACAAGAAGCTTTTCAAGGTTCCTGTGAGGCAGCTTTAGTCTCATCTGATATCCCATAAAGGATGATCTAGGGCAAGCACCTGGGTTTCCTGTGGTGGCTAAGGATGAAGGAAGGATGCTCTTTCAGACAGCCATAATATTTCAACTACTTTCAATGGTGAAAAATATCTGAACAAGGCAGGAAAAAGCCACTCAGGTTGGAACAATTCCTGAGATGCAGCAATACTGCTACAGTAGCCTGGAGACACAACTCTCCTAGAATAAAATGGTTATCTTTCTCTAGGAGTTTGAGAATACACCCAAGGATTGGCTGACAAAACCAACTGTGTGATACTGAATTACTTTAACACTTTAAATTCCCTCCGAAGAACAAAAACTAGAACTAAAAACATATTTGCAAAGTGACAGAAAACAATAGCTATGTGTTTAGGAAGGCCATAAAAAAATAAAAAATTGAGAGAATCCATGGGAATTTTTATTTCCCAAACTGTTTGTAGTTAGTTTGGGACCATGTGACTAGATTCTGGTAAATGCACTGTGGGCAGTAATGAAGTTTACCATTCCAGGGCTGGCCCATAGAAATGTTCACTTGTGAGTTCCTGCACTCTCCCTTCCCCCTTTCTGCCAAACTTGATGGCCACATACAGAAGATCATGGAATCACAAGATGGAAAGAACTTGGGTCTTTCAATGACTTTGAATGTTATTGACCCACTCTTCATCCTACCTCACAATGGCCTCAAACATAGGCAAAAATAAACTTCTATTTGTTTTAAGTCACCAAGATTTGGTGATTGTTAGGACAGTTTAACTACTATAGTAGACATATGCCCTGTTAAGCTCAATTCAGAAAACAGGGACCTGGTGCTGGACAGATAATAGAGAACAGAGAAGGCAAAAGCCTTTCTATTCTTCTTTCTCATAGAACCTATCTACACAAATTAGATTAGATCAGAATTCGATTCCATGTTGAATTGTCATCAAGTCAGTGTCCTAACCTCTGTGAGGTCGATCAAGAAAGCATACAGGCCGGGCGCAGTGGCTCATACCTGTAATCCCAGCACTTTGCGAGGCTGAGGTGGGCAGATCACCTGAGGTCAGGAATTCGAGACCAGCCTGGCCAACATGGTGAAATCCCGTCTCTACTAAAAATACAAACATTAGCTGGGCGTGGCAGAATGCATCTGTAGTCCCAGATGAGGCAGGAGAATCACTTGAACCCAGAAGACAGAGGTTGCAGTGAGTCAAGTTCACACTGCTGCACTCCAGCCTGGGCAACAAAGCAAGACTCTTGTCTCAAAAAAAGAAAAAACGGCATACGACCTACAGGGGGAAGAGAGGGGTCAGAGCTTGAAATTGGTTGACAGGTGGAGGTGCTGCTTTTCATGACCTCCATTCTGCCCATTGGTGAGGGAGGCCTTAGAAGCAATTATGGAAATGTATAGAAAATAACTCTGTCTGACTCCAGAGTCCAATGTGAGCGCCTGTCCTCTGCCTGTCCTTAGGCTCTGGGCTTTTGTTCAGCTTCCAGATCAGAATCCTATAGGGATCCCAGTAGGTAAAGTTAATATGGACTTTTAGGGACTGCATTATGTCCCCCACAAAATTCATATGTTCTTGCTTTACCCCCAAGACTTCAGAATATGACTATATTTGGAGATAGAGCCTTTAAAGATGTAATTAAGATTAAATGAGGCTGTTAGGATGGGTCCCTAATCCAATGGGACTAGTTAGTGTCCTTATAAGAAGAAGAAGAAACACAGGGATACATGTGCACAGAGGAAAGAACAGATGAGGATGCAGTGAAAATGTGACCATCTGCAAGCCAAGGAGGGGCATTGGGAGAAACCAAACCTGCCAACAATTTGATCTTGAACCTTTAGTCTCCAGAGCGGTAAGGAAATACATTTCTGCTGCTGAAGCCACCCATCTGTGCACTTTGTGTTGACACCTGTAGTAAACCAGGACAGGGATGCTCACACTCCACATCACCAAAAGCTGTCAAACACTTATCTGTCCTACACTGGGAAACTCTCACTTTTGCCACAGTTGACACTCCTTACACAGGAACACTGAAGCATCCCTAGCCTGGTGTCAAAATCCTCTGTACAGAAATACATTCTACTTAAGCAGGCAAACTGCATGTTTTAAACTGCACTTTTCCCACAGTTGTTTATGAAACTTTATGAGTGCCTGCAGACAAGTAAAAAGTGAGATGCTTTAAGAGGCATGGGTATAATACAGTCCTGGAGAATGGCTGCTAAACAATCAACACATTTCATACAGAGTCAAGAAATCTTTAAAATGAAAACTCCCTCAAGTACATTCTTTAAGAAAAACGATGCATCCAAGACCAAGGGCAATATAGGAAGAAGTACCTTCTTTTTCCTAAAATGTGAAACACAATTTAAAAAACCAAATGCAAAGAAAAATCAAGATGATAGAACTTTGAAGAGCTAATGATTTTAAATCATTAGTTCAGCATTTAAATCATTGACAATACAATAGGTCATTTATTTCCCTTAAGATATTTCTAATCTATGTCAGAGAAATAAGGGATTTTTTTCTTAATCCAAATACATATGAGCCAGCTTTAAAATAATTAACAAGTTATTTTGCTACCATGTCTGAGTTTGAGATTCTAATTTTCAAAGACATTCGAAAATATTTTACTTAGAAGTGGGAAAAGATTTGAGCATATTCTGGCAGAGATTCACTCAGACAATAAAAGAAACCAAGTCAGATGTATATATAAATTAAGACCACGTGGCAAAGTTTGACATGACTGAGATCAGAGGAGTGGACTTTACAGAAGGAACATTACTATGTACCTGGGGCTCTAGACTAGGGGTGGGAAAACTATGGGCTGTGGGCCAAAATCCCACCATGCCCATTTATTTCCTATTGTCTATGGCTGTTTTCAACCTACAACTACAGTGTTAAGTAACTGCCACATCTCTGTGGCAAACGAAACATGTAGCTAGCAAAGCAGAAAATATTTAACATCTGACCCTTTAGAGAAAAAGCTTGCTTAGCCTTTCAATCAGTGATCAACCAAAACAAACAAATGCAGTATGATAGAATAAGGATTTCAGTGCCCCATTCCCAAAAACACCTCTCTGGGTGTGTCTGGGAGAGCAGAATACAGTTCAGAAAGACCATGGCTGTGGACCAGTATGATGACTCTCATGTTTCAACATTTCCTCCAATCAGAGAATTACCTGAAGATGCAGGATGCACCTGACCAACCTGTTGTCAGCTCAGTCTTGGGCCATGCAGTAGGCCTTCAAGCTGGCCTCGTTTCCTCTGTCTAATAAGATGGGAAGATCAAAGCCAGCTACCAGCTCTTCTTCTCCTTCCATCAGTGACTGCACCATCACCTCCCTACCTCAACCTATGCCAACTATAACATTATTTATTTATTATAGAAATAAATAGAATACCCTATCATCCAAAAGTGTCTATGAAGGCCTGACTAGAATATGAGGCAGTGTCTGGTGAACATTAAGCACTCCAATATCTGTTGAACAAGTGAAATATATCACACACATACCAGCTGTTTGTACTTTTCACCATCAACAGGCATCCAGGCTGGGCTCATTCAGAATCAGGCCTCACCAGAGTGGAAGACATGGCTTGGCAGCAGAGCATGAGTTGAATGAGTTACCCAGTTTGCTGCACTATGAAGGTTTTCCTTTGCCTGTGGGTCACTTTCTCTTGCTTTTTGGTCCCTTTAACTTACTCACCAGGTCCTGTCTTCCTGGGAACCTTCTGTTTCTGTGGAGTTAATGATGGGTTATATGGGCATATGACCTTGAACCTGATCTTGCCCTCAGGCAATATTTTCCTTGTTCTATAACTTCCCTGGCTTATCCTTGATTGCTTGGAATCTTGTACTTGGCTTATTTTGTTTTTCCTGGCATTCTATTCAGTTTCCTTAAGATGCCCTGCTAGCCCCAAAGTCAAACTATCGGATTAAACCAAGGCATTTTGGTACAATCTATGCTCCGAGTAGAAAGGGTCTGGGCTGGTATTTGTGATATTTTGTAAAATAAGCTCATCTTTTCTTTCTGGATATACCTATTATAGTTATTATGAAACATTAACTAAAATTTATGAATAGCTCGTCCCCCTGCTTCCAGTCCACCCCTTCTTTTCTCAGCTCCTCATGGCTTATGCCTATTCTTCAGTTCTTTCTTCTTCCAGCCCTAGCTCTTTGGATCTCTGGCTTTTTTTCACACTAAGATTCTTACAATTGGTGAACTGCTCTACGACATTCAGATGTACCTGACGAGACACAGGCTCTCTGAGGATTCATTTCTCCTCAGCTGGGTTTATTTATAGGCACAGGTCTGATATTACTTGAAATCAGTGTTATTTGTTGCTTAAATCAGTGTTATTCGTTGCTTTTTTTAAATCTGCACAAGGAGACATTCATTTTTATTCCTGGTGGAAAGAAGTAGGGCAAATATCAAGGCCCAAGGTTTTTGCCCTTCATCAAAAAAATTCTTTTAGACACTGACTCAGAACCTCTTAAGTAGATCAGAATTCCTCGCCACAGTCAGTCCTATAGAAGAAAGTGCCAGTGAGTGAGAGCAAAGATAACTCAAAGCACATAGAGGGCCAAATTTGGCTTGACATCCTCATTAAAAAATTGACCCCCTTGAGAGTTTTGTCTAAAAATGGGCTACAGGAAAGAGGTCAGTTCAATTGAACATGTTAACAGGGGTTTTTTTTTTCTTTTTCTTAAAAAAAAGTGGTTTAACAAATACATTGAAAGTAAGTTGCCAATTGAATCTCAGGCTCAAATGATTTTTCTTGCTAACATATGGCATTGACTTAAGGGAACAGATTAGATAATATAATCATCGTTAATTCCATGTGTTTATAATTGTGCCTTTGATCTACAGCGTGTGAAGTGCTTTGCCAACATCAGACTACTGATCTTCCTCACCACCTTCTGTGACATGTAGGGGCTGCTTTTATCCCCTCACTTCACTGAGAAGCTAAGAAGTGGAATGTCTAAAGTCATCAGCTTGTTATGACAAAGCTAAGAAAAAATTCTGCAACCCATGAGTCCTGTCTAATTCAGTTTCCTGACTATTAAGACTTAGCTGCTTTAACAAGGATTCAATAAGCAGCTTAGCTCTTGGCTTCTGCTCCTCTTCAAACAAATGGCTACAGGTACAAGCAGGGGGTATGTGAAAACTTCACTCTGGTCTGAAAGTACAGCATTAAATTTTTAATTTTTTTCTCCATGGCTCAGCATTTTCAGTCAATTTCTCAATGCCCAAGAAAGTGGCATTATAGGGACATGCAGACAGTATGCAGAGTCCTTATACATATAATCATTTATTTGGTGTTATCTTGAGTCTCATATGACAGCAGAAGCTCCTCAAATATAAGAAAATTATAAAATCCAGCAATAATTATATATAGATATTCCTTTATATCAATAGCAGTGAGCTCTCACCACTATTGATATAAAGGAATATCTATATACAATTGTGTATAAAGGGATATCTAATTGTGTATAAAGGAATATCTATACATGATTATAAATATTGTATATAAAAGATACTAATATACAGTTACATTAAGTTTCTTTGGTAATACTCCAACAGGGGCCATAAAAGCAGCTGGACATAATGAGCTCTGTTTAGTCAAGGATTCAGAAATACATAATTGTTACATATCAAAATCATCTTAAATACCTAAAATTTTCTAATTCTTCATCTTTCTCTGAAAGCTTTCTTTCAAGTTCTGCTTTAGCTTTCAAGAGTTCAAGCTGGAAACGAAGAATCTTGCTTTCATTACGTTCCAAGGCTCCCTGGAATACATAGATAAAAAGCATTAAATGAAGTCCACTTTTAGACAAAAATTTTATTTTTTTCCCAAAACATATGTCGCTAATGTAGCTCTCTTAGAGTTATTGGGAAAGATATAGGTTCAAGTCAGGTCCCTAGAGACTGCAACACAGTGAGACAAGCAACTGCTTTCATTTGTCATTTCACTTATAGATTTGACATTCTTAGGTCTTTCAGCTGTAGCTCCAGAACTAGAATTTTAAAGCCTATTTTAAAATAGAAAATTTGAGTCTTGTCTGTGGCTATATTTAAGCTTTTTAATGTATTACTCTTGACTTTTTCTAACATATTCCAACTATGGGATAAATTTTAAAAAGTATCAGAGCTAGAACAAGGAAGGTGGTAACTCCTACCTGGAATCTGCTATTAAATTCTGGACATCACGAGGGAATAGAGGAAAAGTTGGATGCATTCAGAGAACAAACAACATGGTAGTGTCCAAATATTGTCATATGAAGAGCAAATAAAGGAATTTAGGATGTATCTGACACGTAACACTCAGCGTGAGCCATTAACACCATAATTGGTACCACTACTGCAAATGAATTGCTTTGACAGGCAGGAAGATTCCCTGCCCCTTTGTGTATTCAAATATAGTTAAGGCAATTATTTGCAGGGATGTTATAAAGGCAATTCAATTCTAAAAGCATAGGTTTGGCTAAATCTTTAAAGCCTGTCCTGAAGCTAAAAATGTATATAAAAGTAGAAACCCAAAAAGCACTTGCAGAATACCAATGATATAAGGGCATAAGGGGTGATGCAATTTTGTGGTCAGTTAGCTACAGGCAGTCCTAAAGGCAGAAGTAATTTTTTATAGCCTCTTTTGAGGAGTGCTTAGTAGATACAACCAAAAGTAAAAAAGTAAAACTGAGTTGCAATTTTAAAATAAAGATAAAAAGATGATGGGAATTTTAATAAGACCTCCCTTGATGTTCTCTTGATACTACCTTCAATATAAAAGAAAATAAAATTGCTAACGCACACTCAAAAACAAATGCTTGGATAATAGTTTCCTCAGAGGGAATAGTGTAGTTCCTTCAAGAGGAGACTGTCACCTCTAACCCTCTAAAATGCACTGAGAAAGTGAATCTTTAGGGAAGACGACCTGGGATAATTTGAGTTTCATGGCTTTAAAACAATCTGATACAGTTTCTCATGAAGGCTCACCCAGGAAAATAAATAATGCAATGCTACAAATACATGTCCAAGTTGATGAAGTATTTATGGAGGTGGCCGATGACAGTTGAGAAAATGCGAACAGAACGTATTGCCATCTAGTGGTACTAAATGGTTTGAGCACTCTGGCCTTCCTGTCATTCTCACCCTTGACCCATGTGCTGATCAACTGAATATACAAAGATGCCTCTATGTTATACAGGACAAAAATTGCCAGTGCCAGTTGTATTTTTCATTGACTTGTCATAGTGCTTGAAATTTCTATCATAAAATTTACTTCTTTTAGTTAAGGTGGTGGCTTCAAAAAGTCCCTTGCCAGGATGGCCAGAGAACCAAAGGGAACAAGTAAACAAAACAAAGTTCACCAGCTGTATAAGGACCAGCTGTGCTAGAGGGCACCACACTGCCAACCAAAAGGAGTCTGTATAAAGTTAGATAGCCTCAGGAAACGTTTATGCATAACAGGGCAAGAGCTGCTGCCTGACAACTCTATACGGAGGGTAATATGGAAACATTTGCTTGGCAAGTTTCTTCTGGAATCATAATGGTGAGGTAAATGTAACAGACAATGCTTGGCACAGAGCGGTCCTTTGGGGTCTTGTTTTCCATCACCATACCTTCCAAAAGGCCCCTACCTAACACTGACTGCCACATCTTTCAAAAATCTTTTTTCATTTTCTACTGGTGGGAGGGTAGGGCTGTATTTTAATGTGTCTGAGTACTTGCTCAAAGGTTGAGTCAGGAAGATGAAGTTCAGCTCTGAGAAGAGGCTACACAGGGCTTCTTAACCACCTAATAATCATGATAGGGTGACTTCCTCCTCGTTAGTTTACCTTCTTTGGCAAAACATCTTCTTAGAGGTCCTTTGAATTGCTAATGCACACTCAGAGATAAAGTCAGAGACTTTTCCTGAACTGTGAACCCATAACACTGAAAACCTTCCTGTCAATCTGCACAAAGATGAGCTTTCAGAAACCACTGTTTGACAGCATTGCTTTGAATCTTATTTCCAAAACTACCAAAAGTTTTTGGGGAAAAAAAATTGAAAAGTTTTTGTGACTGACTCTTTAAAGAGGGGACAGCTATGAGAATATTTATTCATTCAACATTTGACAAATATTTATTGAGCCTCTACTACACGCCAGGCAATGTTCTAGGCCAGTGCTTCTCAAATATTAATGTGCATATGAACCACCAAGGGATCTTGTTAAAATGCAGATCCTGATTCAACAGAGATGGGCAGAGGGCTGAGATTCTGAATTTTTAACAGCCTTCCAAGTGATGTCCATGGGCCACATGTTGAGTAGTGAGGGTCTGGGCACTGGGGATAACTGGCGAACGAGATAGACATAGTTCCTGTTTTTACTACAATCAGGAGATTTGCATTCACTGTTTGTATCCTGCTCTCTGAGTCTCAATTTCCTCTTTTATAAAATGGGGACAGTAGTTTGCTATGGTGATTATATTAAAATTATGCATTTGGCAGAGTGCCTAGCATATAGTAAATAAACATTTGAATACATGTCCTTTTGTTGGTGCTGTTGTTATTGCTAGAATGCAAATCTTCTGCCTTGTCACAGTGAAAACTTTCTTTTCTCCCTGGTGATAATACCTCTGTTTCTTCCAGAGTCACCTGGACTTCTGTCTTCTCCTGTTCAATTAGTTTCTTGACCTTTTCCATTTCAGTTAAGTTCTTGGTCCCTTCTCTAACCTGGTTTGTCAGATTAGAAATCTCTTCTGGAGAGAGAGGTAAGAAAAACAAAGTTAGTGAAAGGGCTCAGTCTCAAACCAATGATACCAGGCACAACAGACTGTTCCAGCCCACTGGAACAGTGGCCTCATGCCACCCTTGGTAACTTGATGACCTAGCCCATATGGGACCTAGAAATTTTAAAGGCATTCATTTTTTCATATAGTCTTTTGCCATCTGAAAATTGTCTACAACAAATGGTGAGGATGGTGCTTCAGAATATTGTACACTAGACAACCTTTGCAACTTTGCATGGCAGTCCTGCTCATTAGAGCCATTCCAGGTTCTACCTGGAGGAACACAGACCTGGAGTCCCTACCCTTCCAGTGTAAGTGCTTAGCTATCAACACTAGTGGCTGCCATTGTTTCAGTCACCACTTAACACCGAGACAGGAACTTAAAGTAGAAGCTGGATCACTATCTGCCAGCATCCAAGACATGGCCCCAGATAGGCCAGAGAATCAGAAGGGGCCTAAGTGGCTTTAGCTCAAGCACTTGAGTGTTTTTTCCTAGCCTTTCATGAACATTAGCCTTTGACAAACAGAATAGGACATCCAGAAGTCAAAAACCTCTTCCACCTGATATTGTTATGGTCAGTTCTGCCTTTAGTACCTAAGAGGTGTGGTATAGGGCCAAGTAGCTCAGAGAATTACCCAGTTCAGAGGTGGTGGAAGGAGCTCAATAAGTCACCTGCTCCTCTGGTTCTGAGATCCTGGGCTGTGATGTGATATGATGAGAATTTTTAGAAGTTACAAAGACAAATATGTTAGACGGAAATTTTCATTGCATAATAAATTCTTCTCTGATAAGCTCTCTCTTAAAGATGGGTTATCAAGAAGAAAATCAGGGAAGAGGTTCTCAACTCTGACTGCACCTTAGAATCACCTGGAGAGCTTTGGAAAAAGCTCACTCAATATTCAAACCCCACCCCACCCCCACTCCCCCCAGTCCAAAGGTGGTGCCCAGATCAGCAGCACCGGCCTCACCTGGAAAACTGTCAGAAATACAAATCCTTCAGACCTACTGAGTCAGAAACTCTGGGGGTGGGCCCCAGCCATCTGTGCTTTAACAAGCCCTCCAGCTGGTTTGGATGTAGCTAAAGTTTTCTAACCACTGTTTTAGCATCCCTCATGTCCCCAGCTAGTGCCTTGATCATAGACTATGTAGGTCAACAGAAAGTAAGCTTCATTTACGCCTCCAACAGTAATGAACTTGCTTCCAGGGCATCTCAGGGTTTTCATGCACGTTGCTGTTGGTGCTGGGATAAGTTGGCAGCCTCTTTGAAGGGCTGTTTGGCAGTAAATCAAAATTTAAAAATTCATTTCATTAACCCAGCAATTTCTTTTCCAAGGATCCATTCTACTGAAATATTTTTACATGTGCATAAATACATGTATAGGGATGTATAATGTAGGATTATTCATATTTGTGAATAATTGGATCTAAAATGAATAAAGTATAGTTAAATGATAGCCATCTTTATTACAAAACACTATGTAGCTATTAAAAAGCTTGTGGTAGGTCTCCATGTACAGGCATGCAAAGAGCCACAAGGTACGTGGGAAGGTTGCACAGCTCAGTAGTTAAGTGCATATATGCTGGAGCCATGGCTGGGCTCAAATCCCAGATCTGTGACTTATCAAATGTGAATTTGGACAAGTTACTCAACTTATGACCTATATAACCTTCATTTTACATATGAGAAAACTTAACACTAGACTATTCTGAAAATTTAACAATAAATAGTTAAACAGTGCCTGGTATGTAGTATGGGCTATAGAAATATTCATTAAATCGGGAAATATCTTCATATATGAAAAAATAAAACGTGTAGAACAAAATGTAGTTCGGGTAAAAAATACACCCTTGAGTATAGCACGCATGGAAAATCTTGGTAAGGTTGTGGATATCAAGAAATTCTCATCAGTGGCTTCCTTTACAGAGGAGAACTGAAGTTAAAGGCAGGAAACTAGTCTTACTTTTAGAATTAATTTCATACAAATAGCATCTAAAATTAAAAAAAAAAAACGGTCAAACAGAAGTATAAAAATTGAAAAGTTAAAACATGATGGGAACGTGAAAATGCTGAAGACAGCTTTGCCTGTAGCCAGGGCTCTCCCTGAGCTACCCACTCCGGCTTTGGCTCCAAGCCCAGCTTGGTGTACCTTGGAGGTTCTTGTTCTCCCTCCTGAGTGTCTCCTGGCCCACGATGCTCTCCTTGTAGGCGTGCTTGAGCTTGAGGAGCTCTGTACTGAGAGCCTGGATTTCCTTCCGAGAGGCATCCAGCAACGTCTGCGACTCCTCATGCTTCTGCTTCCAGTCTGCAAGGGCCTTGCCAGACTGCAGCTGCTTCTGGTCCAGCCTGGCTGCTGCAGAGCGGACCTTCCCGAGGTCAGACAGGGCGTCCCCGAGCTCCAGCTGCAGCCGGTGTCTGGCTCTCTCCAAGGAGGCATTTCTGGCATTGGCCACCCCCATGGCTTCCGCTGCCTCCTGCAACCTAATTGCCAGTTCCTTCCTGAGAAAGGAGCATACCCAAAGAATGAGTGAGGCAACAACTCTCAGAGAGCTCATCAAGTCTGCCCTGGATTAAAGATAGAGCTTGGGTGCAAAGTAAGATGGCACCTCTGCAGTGGACTTAGTGGTACAAAGCAACAGCAGCTCCTATCTGAAAGTGACCTCACTGTCTGTGACCACCATCTTCTGCCTCCTGTGTGCATGGGGTCTTTATTTTCGCCCTTTGCCAAGCTGCACTTGGAACTCTGGATCTCTTTGAATTCCTACAAGTATTTGCTTATCCTAAATCTGTAATAAGCAATACTGACTTGATTATTTCCTAAGAAGAGGGAAAAAAGGAAGATTGTACTGAACACCCTACCAACAGTAAGCACCTTACAAATCTGTAGCCATCTGTAGTCACTAAAGAGCTTCTTGGCTGTGTTGCTTCTAAAGAACACTCTCTTGCTTTTTCCTGCTTATTCTCTCACATCATGTGGCTCCTAAACATGACACAATTATTTCTTCTCTCCGAGTGTGTTCTCCACCTCAGCTCCTCTCTCCAGATTTATATTCCCAAACCCATCTCATTATGCTCACTCAACAGGTCCTGCTGTTCTTATGGGGTACTTTAGCCCCCATCTGCTGTTCCTTGGGCATCTCTGAATTGGAGTGGTTTATTACAATGCTTCTTTCTCCACCACCCCCATAATATGCTACTATTAGGAATTCTAACGGATGAAATGTGTTCTGTTGCTTACATCTCCTGCAGGGTTGTTGGCTGTCCCATTCTTACTCACTTATTATACTTCTTAGATGAAAAGTACTATATGTACCAAAGCTCATCTACTGCTATTAAACAGAAAAAAAGTTCTCCGGAATTAACAGGACTGCATAACTAGGCCAACAGAGCAATGTGGTAATAAAGCCCCCTTTGGGTGGAATCCTGCAAAAACCCCTATGTGCTTGGGATCCAGGAAGCATCTAGGCTCTAACAACATCCTGCCCCCGGCTTTCTAACCATAGTCACTTCACTTCTTTGCTTCATGTTCCTTAAGTGTGAAGAGGAGATTCTGATGCTTTACCTGACTTAAGGCAGTAGCAATGAAATAATTACAGGCAGTCGAGTGAAATAATTACATATATTTTAACTACTTTAGAAATGCTTGTCGATCAAAGAAAACAGGAGTTTCACTTTGGGTGACCAATCATACTGGATTGCCTGGGACTGAGGGGTTTCACCAGGTGATATGGTTTGGCTGTGTCCCCATCAAAATCTCATCTTGTAGTTCCCCTAATCCCCACATGTTGTGGGAGGGACTGGTGGGAGGTAATTTAACCATCAAGGTGGTAACCCTCATGCTGTTCTCATGACAGTAAGTTCTCATGAGATCTGATGGTTTTATAAGGGGCTTTCCCCTTCTTACTCACTCACTTCTCTTCCTGCCACCATGTGAAGAAGTACGTGTTTGCTTCCCCTTCCACCAGGATTGTAAGTTTCCTGAGGTCACCCCAGCCATGCTGAATGGTGAGTCAATTAAATCTCTTTCCATTATAAATTACCCAGTCTTGGGTATGCCTTTATTAGCAGTGTGAGAAAGGACTAATACACCAGGACATGAGATTTTCAAAGCTAAAACAGGAAACCTCCAGGGTAAACTGGACAAACTGGTTAACCTCGTTTTACCAATAACTTGGTTCTATGTTTAATATCAACTACTATTTTGCTCTTTAACTTGCCAACCATAAGCACCTACTTAGTTATCTCGAATATGTAAGGAGGATCTCGAATACGTAAGGGGATATTGGAAATTAAGAAACTAAATCCTTGTCCTTGGGAACTTAGAATTCAGAAGTAGTACACTGAGTCTTAGGTGAGCTTGACTCTGCTAAACTAACTCATCATTTGAACCCCAGCATGGAAATCAAAGCAGGCAAATCTTTAACTTCAATAATAAAAAAGAAACCAGGACCCTAGACTGTTTTGTAGCTGCCTGCCTCCCTGAGGTGATTTAGAGGAAAAGATAATAATACAGACAAAGTTTTATTTATTCAATGTCCCACCAATTTGAAAGTAAAAAAGTGTCTTCAGAGAGTACCATGTTTGCCCATTATTTTCTTTAGTTATTACATACTACAGAACTAGTTCCAACAAACCCATGTGGTCATAAAGTAGTCTATATTATTTTGCTCTTTCGTATCCAACCCCCAAAGAAACCATCAAACAGAATGATAGATAGGCAATTTCACCTGAATTCTTCAATCATTAGAAGGGGGGGGAAATCTTACTTCAGAAGTAAATACCATATTTGGATATAAGAGGGCATCTCAGTTCAAAGCCAAAACTTTCTGTGGTCCAGAGTTTTGATAAAACACCTACTGCATGTATTTTTAGTATCTGTCATTCTAAAGCCCTTTTTAAGTTACTGTGGGTACAGAGATGGATCACTTGCCCCTTCTGGGACAAAACACAGCAGCTGTTCAGCAATTGCACAGCAATGCCTCTCAAAGATTTAGGTGAAGAACTGGAAAACATTATTTCTGGTTGAAGCTAAAGAGAAATGTATTGATCTTCCCTGGATTTTTGCCAAGCTACCAAGCCAGGGACACATTCTTTTGAGTAAACCTTTAATGATTATAAGCTGGGGTTTGACAATTTCTCTTAAAAATAGAGTTTCTTGGTCTCTAAGCAAAATGCTTCAGTTCTATACCCTGGTACTGAGTCACAATTCAGCTATGCCCCAAACTTATGTAACTACTAAGAACTTTTAAAACCTTTACATAGAAATGGCTATAAAATTGATATTCTAACCTTAGGGATGGCCTGGGGATGGTTTCTTTTCAAAGCAACCTTTGTCCTAGAAGATATGACGACAGATCCTAACATTTTTTCCAGCTTCCCTGTCCATCTTCACAGACTACTTTGTAGTCTACAAGTTGTAGACCAGGGACACAACGACTTTGATGGAGACACGTACACACGTGGACTCAATTATTTTGGCATTACGAATGAAATATAGGGTTTTAAGCGATAGCCTATTTTCACACCATGGCTCAAAGTCACATCTTTTATGAAAACTTCCCTTGTGTCCCTAGAAAGAGCCTCCTTTCTCTCCCCAGGACCTCTTTATAGTCTCTGTCACTTTGTATTACACTTTTTATATTTTTAGTCCCTCTACAGAGTGTGCTTCTTACCAGCAGTGAATGTTTCAGCTTTGGTTTGGGGCTTGTTCCTGCATGTGGCAAGGATTTGTTAAATGCATACCACGAGGCCTTGGAGACAGAGTCATTATGAGTGACTCCTCCATGTGACTAACTCCAGGTTAAGCATAGCCTTGCCCTACTCACTTGGCATCCTCCAAGTCTTCTGTTTTCTGGATGACATTGTTTTCATACTTCATTCTCCATTGCACCATTTCAGCATTGACTTTGGATAAGGTCCGGTGCAGCTCAGCCTTGACCTCTTGTTCTTCCTCATACTGCTCTCGTAGAAGGTCACAGTCACGCTGGGCCTTCTGCAGGGCATGGGCCAGGGCACTCTGGGACTGTAGGGAACACACATTAACAAAAAAGGCATGACCACCACAAACAACACAAGTCTTGAAAGTAAGATAATATTTTTTTAGGTAAGATTAACCTGCCACAAATTCAAGCTGAACCTGAACCTAGTAAGATAATACTAGGGAGAGAATTTGAGACAAGAGAAAGGATAGATAGAGTATCTAATTGCTGCCATTAAAACAGGGAAGGGAATTCTATTTAGAGAAATGCCAGCTTGACTCTGTGGACTTAGGCCTGGAATTCTAGAAATAGTGGAGAATGCAAGGATAGCAAAGACAACATTCACCATCATTTAGGCAATAAGATTTATATTTAGCAATATATTAGACTCAGAGCTTGTTCAAACCAGAAAGAACCACTGAAATTTAGCCTTTTCATTCCACAGATGAAGAAAATAAAATCTTTTATTTCACACTGAAATCTCTAAAAACCTCAGCTCCTAATACTTCAAAATAGTACTACAGCCCAATAGAACTTCTGTAATGATGAAAATGTTCTCTATGTACACTGTCCAATATGGTAAACACCTAGCCACATGTGGCTACTGAACATTCAAAATATGCCTAGTACAATGTGTGATTAAAACTGAATTCATAATTTTATTTAACTTTAATATAAATTTAAATAGCTACCTGTAGTGTAGTAGAGGCTTCTATATGTATTGGACAGCCCTGCTGGGTTTAATAAACATTTTTGTCATTTAAATGGTGATCTGGCTAACCTAGCAGCATCATTCCCCCGAGACAGTCTAGTGTGGAAAGAACCAGGGTCCTGACGGGTCCTCATGGGTCCTTTATGCAAATTAGAAAAAAAAAGCACATTTTCAGGAAGATACAGCTCTGAGGGCACAAGGTTTAGTTAATGGCAGCCTCAGCCAGACCCCTCTGGGTGGTAAATGAGGAGCCACAATACACAATGACACTGAAAAGGATGCAGGCCTTGGAATCAGATGAACCTGAGTTCAAACTGTGACCTCTCCTCTTGTTTAATTTTATTTTCCTTTAAAGGAAAAACTTTTAAAACCTTTATGTGGCATTTACATGGCATATATTTAATTATGGAAGTAAACGAGACAGACAAAATCCCTGCCCTAAAGAGCCCAAAAGAAACAAGGGGATACACAAAATACACATGCAAATAAACTAATAAATAAAATTTCTAATAGCAGTAAAACAAATACAGCAGATAAGCACAATCTAGAATGTTTGGCTCCTTCTCATCATCCCCCTAAGACCTTGGGGAAGGGCCTTTAAGCAACAGGAAGGACAGTTATAAAAGTCCTAAGGCAGGAATGATGGTGCCTGGTTTAAGAGGCAGAAGGGAAGCCAGGGCAGCTGGGGGGAGTAAATGAGGGAAGCAGATGTAGGAAGTAGGTCACAGAAGGATGCTGGAGCCAGATCAGGGGGGCTTGTAGGCCAACTGGAAGTCACTGGGAAGGCAGCCAGAGAGATCTTCTAAAATATAACTGATTTCACTAGTGCTTAAGTTCCTTCACAGTATATCACTAGGTGTATGACCTTGGACATGTTATTTTTCTTCTCAGAGCCTTGGTTTTTTCATATATAAGGATGCAATTCTATCTGTTTCATTTGACTGATATGAAGATTGAGATAACATGACAGAAGTGTCTGGTACAATGTCTGATGCACAAACAATGATAAATTTTTAAATTTGTGTATAATATAGAAAATATGGAGAGTCAAGGGAATAAAATGGTACAATATTTTAAAACAGACTCAACTACCTGCGTTTTCAGAGTGTATGCCTTCATAGTATGGTCATGTACAAGTAAGATACTTTGGGGTCTTAGTAATAAGATGCCTTGAATATGAACTAAGAATTCATTTAAATATCAGGGCTCAAAGAATTCATATCTCATGTTGGTCACTATGCTTTCATCTTCCAGAATCACTTTCACTGGAGTCACCTTATAGCAACATGATATACTCATGGGAAGAAATGACTAATTTCTATAATTTATTGACAATTTAAAAGTAATATTGAGCTATCCCAGTCCCACTTATTTTATTCTAGGCTTTTATTTAATTTCACTTTTTCATGAGCAGTTTCAGAATCAAAATCCAGAAAGTGCCTTGCTGCCCTTCTGTTCAAGTACTCACACAAGATGGAAACACACTTTGCTTGCTCTAAATCTGCAAAGAAGCGATTTGAATCACCAAGGAAGATCCTTCAGTCATCAGGTTCTTCCTGGCATGGTTTTTCCCCCATAACTTGTAGGGCATTTTCCCTTCTTCTTTTACAAAACATCTTCAGGCTGATTCATCAAGCACTATTTTTTTAAAAAAACACACAGTCAAGTAACAAGTGAGAAATAATAGATACATTACTTTGGTCTCCTTTTCCAACTGCCCTCTCAGTTCTTCAATTTGCCGAGTGAAGTTGCTCTTTTCCCTGGAAAGTTGGTTTATCAGAGCTTCCTTCTCTTCAAGCCTCCGTAGGAACTCGCCTACAGAAAGATTTCACAAAAGTATATAATTACAGTCTTCCTATCTATTGCCTCCTCCACTTGACTTACTGACTTTAAGGGCAGCCAGAATGACTCCTACCCACATATTTTTGATATTTAGGAAGGGTCTGAGAGTCCTATTATTCAGCAAAACCATGACAATTATCCTTTTCAGGACTCAGAAGAGAGTTCTAAAAATGAACTGATTTTTACTAAGTATGAATCAATAACAGATGATATTAGTTACTATTTATTGAGAAACTTCTATGCTCTACTTAACATATGTTATCTAGTTTAATTTTCATAACTCCTTGATAATGTAGGTATTATACTAACCATTTTGCAGAGGAGGAAACAGAGCAACTTAAATATGACTGAAACAGAAACATACACAGTTCGTAATTGTTGAAGGTAGATTCAAATGAAATTCTTGAAGACCACATTCTTCTATACCATACTCCCTTGTTTACTATATGTGACTTTGTACACTTCTGTCTATATAATTTTTAGGTAATTATAACTTTTATTACCTCATTTGTAAAATGAAGATAACAATAAAAGGTTCTTAATGAAAACTAAATTAGTGTGAACTAAATTAGTTCAGTTTTATAGACTGAACTGCTAAATAAATATTAGCAGTAGTCACTAAATGGTAGGAAATGTGACCACGAGAGGGAGAAATTGTATCATACTCTAGTCTATCGTTCCTGCTTAACTTATCCTATTAATTATAGTCGGGCCTTCCATATCTGTAAGTTCTATTTGTGGATTCAACCTACAAAGGTCCTCTACAATTTAACTCAATTCTGACACTATCTTCCTAGAGACAGTGTCAGATACACACACACACACACACGTACAAGTATATATGTGTATATATATATACACACATACATATAAATATGCACATACACACACATATATACACACCTATATGTACATGTATATATCTTATTATAAATCACAATATCACATACAATATTTTTAAAATCATATTTGTTAACATCACTGCTGAGCTCATCAGAAAAGTCCAAGAATTGACAGCCATCAGCCTAATGATGGCATATACGTTTTCTAAAATATAATTTTTACCTAAAAGCTCCTATTTTGTTATTGGCAAGAAACGTTGTCAGTTGCTTTCCCTGCAGTGACAGGTTTCCTTTGTTCATTTTTGAGAAATCATGTGCTAAACATGTGAGTCTAAATAAGCCTAGTTTGCTTGTCAGTCATTCTTTCAAGTAAAAGTGATACTCCCTGAAAAAACTGCTAGCTCAGCTCAGAGCTTAATCACACATCTTACTCCAGTATGAAACAGGAGTTCTTCATGCATACTTCTTGTTTTGTCACACAGGATAGTAAAAAGATATATACTCAAGAGTTGAGATGTAAAAAATTCATTTCTTCTCCTTCTTTAAGGACGTCCTTAAGTGAAACTGACTTCTTAAAAACCTGTAAGTACATATTAGGGAATACAATTTTTACTAGTATGTTTTAGTGCTACTACCTTAACTTGTGATCAGGCTCCAGCAATTTTAATCATTGTTGCTTTTGCACCATCAGTACAAATGGCAAAAGAATTTAAGTTGCAAATAGTATCTTAGTATTATACTAAAATAGCTTCAACCTCATAGACCCCCTACAGGCTCTTGAGAATCACTTGGGAGTGAAACAAACTTTAAGAGTATTTGGATGAAAATGTCTGTGGGTTTTTGTTGGTTTTTTTTTTTTTTTGACAGAGTTTTACTCTTGTTGCCCAGGCTGGAGTGTACTCGTGCAATCTCGGCTCACCTCAACCTCCACTTCCCAGGTTCAAGTGATTCTCCTGCCTCAGCCTCCCGTGTTGTTGTTGTTGTTGCTGTTGGTGTTTTGTTTTTTGAGACAGAGTCTCACTCTGTTCCCCAGGCTGGAGTACAATGGTTACCTACAGCCTCTGCCTCCCGGGTTCAAGTGATTCTCCTGCCTCAGCCTCCCAAATAGCTGGGACTACAGGTGCCCACCACCACGCCTAGCTAATTTTTGTATTTTTTTGGTAGAGACAGAGTTTTGCCATGTTGGCCAAGCTGGTCTCAAACTCTGTGCCTCAAGTGATCCGCCTACCTAGGCCTCCCAAAATTCTGGGATTATAGGCATGAGCCACTATGCTGGTCCGAAAACATCTTATTTAAAAAGATTCTGAAGAAATATAAATGCACTAGCTGGTTGAGACTAATATATCATGTATATTACAGAGCCAGTAGCCAGTTACTGTGGCTTAATTGATCACATTTACTATTGGTTTCCTCTGAAAGCAGAGAAAGCTGACAGGACAGGGCATGAGAAAGAAACTTTGGAGGTAACCACCAACAAAAACAACAAAAGAACAAAAAACAAAAACAAACAATCTGGAGCATGGACCCAGTGAGGGGAGGATAAGCTTGGATAAATTTGTACTTTGAATTTAACTTACACAAAAGCCAACCAAAAAGTAAAGTTAAAAAAAGGAAGAAAAAACTCCTGCAGCCTAAGCAGAATTATCATCTCAGACCCACTTTCATTTTACTCACTACCCACTCATTTCCTCGTCAAAAAAGTGAGTAGAAAATTAATGCCAATAACTAGGGGGAGACAGCCAATGTCTATCAAAACAGATTTTACACAGCACTTCCTTTAGGGCCAGACAACCAGGTATTCTCCAGTTTTGTGTCTGGACTGTGGAGTCTGCATACCAACTAAATCCTACATAGCACAGATCAAACTGGGGGCTTGGTAGCAAGGCCAGGTTTCACATACCCTGTGGTCAGTATAAGAAGAGTCCTATTCAGTGTCCTTAATAGAACCAAAAATACTTTCTTCTTCTAGATTTCCAGGTTTTTAGTTTTATCAACTAATTTTAATTTAGCCCTGACCCTAGATTTGGCATCTGGAAATAGAGGTGTCTACTGGAGGAACTGTGTTATATATAGCCCAAATGTGTTCATTCTCTTTTTAAAAGTGTATGCCGCTTGAGCATCAAGAATACATTGTTTATTTTCATTGACCTAGGAATTCCATCTCTCAGAATATATTACTAAAACTGATTTTAGTTATAGATAAACATCTAGCCACATGCTGTTCATAGCAGAGAGGCAAGTCAAGTTGCAGGCAAGGTTAGGTATAGTCAATCTCAATGAACTAGAAGCAGTCATTACAAATGACTGAGTATGCAAAATACAAAAGCTTATGATAAATTGAAAAAGAAAAACCCCCAATAGATTGTTACAATGTAATAGATTGGAAAAACAGAAAAAAAATATCCATAGTGGTTGATAGTAATGAATAAAGTATGGGACTTTTTTTTTACTTTTATTTATTAAATGTTTATGGAGGATCAATAAGTGCCAGGCAGTGTTCTAGATGATTGACATACATCAATGAACAAAGACCCTTGACCTCATGGAGCTTATATTCTGACAGATGGAGACAAAGATATTTATTGTGTCAAATATGTAGTGTGTTTGAACTTAATAAATACTATGAAAAGAGAAGCACTTGAGGAAATGAGTCGACAGTATTCAAATGTCACCTTCTCAACAGAGCCTGTATCCTGACTTGCCCCAGATCTCTACTTGATTAACCCTTATCCCCGAGTCTTTCCAGAATTAATAAGGTGTTCCAGGCAGAGGAAACAGCTAGGGCAAGACTCCAAGGTGGAGTATGCCTGGGGTGTACAAAGCACAGTATAGAGGTGGATGTGGCCAATGCAGAATGAGAGAAGGGGCAAGTAGGAAAAGAGGTCAGAGAGAACGAGGTCCAATCATGCAGGCCCAGATGTGTCTTTACACTCAGTAAAAACAGTTATCCAAACATTTAAAATTCATTATCCAAACATTTAAAATTTCATTATCCAAACATTAAAATTTTTTTTTAAATTTAATATTCAATGAGTTAGAAATTGTAAAAATGTCATGACTAGTAGACTGTGGTTTGCCCCACCCATCCTTTGATCTGGAGAGTTGCTTCTGCTGATGGCATATTATTATGACTTTCTACTTCTTGGAAGGGAACTAGGCAGGGGTTCCCAAGTGGCACAGAGGTAACACTTCCTAGACAAGAGGCATGTGTGTGGCAAAGCTGTCTCAGAGGCTGCATTCCTCCCCTAGGATCTTCAGATGCCCACCCAACCTCAGTGGGTAGTTCATTATCTCAGTTGCACCTCCATGAGTCTGCTGGGATTGAGAATTGCCTGTGAGTCAAGCAACATACTTACTTACCACTCTCACTCCACAGCTCTGTCTTTTGTGCTGCCAGGTCATTTGCCAACTGAGTCACCTTATCTAGCTTTGCATTTGCTTCATTCAAGCGCTCTTCATATAGAGTACAGAGTTTCTCAGCATTTGCCTGTAAGTTGAGAAAGAAGGGCTGTTCAGGGCTCACAGAGGATACTCTGAATCAGCTGCACAGAGGAGGAGGGGAAGAGTGGCTCCGGGGATCCGCACACTCTCTTCTGTAGTAAAAAGCTCAGCCAGCATTGGGAGATCACGTCTTCTGATTTCGGCAAGTACAACCAACTCTAGGGTCTGGACCCCAAGAAGCCTAAACTTTGCAGAGTACAGGTGTCACGGGAGACACCCAACTTCCTGGGTATTAGGATTCTTTCTAGAATTATTTACTTTTCTGGAGAAGGAAACATGTCAAACACTAATGAGGTACATGATCCTTTTCTGACAGTATATATTTAAGTGTCTTTTCCACTAGAATATAACTTTCATGAGGGTAGAGATCCAGTTTAAAGATATATACCCTGTTGTCTAGAATAGTGCCTGGCACATATGAGAGCAATATGCAAGGGCGGAGGGGCAGAGGAAGGGGAAGGAAGAGAGATAAGAGAGGGAAGGAGGAGGAAGAAAATCTAGAAGGCTGCCCAAGCAGGATAGAAGAAAGTGGAGGATCTGAGCCACAACAGCCTAATAACCAAATGTGAGCTGCCAAAGCAACTGTACCCTCCTGATCACTATGGCTACAATCTCAAGATGACCCTAACAGGGTCATCTTCAATCCCCAAACCCTAACAGGGTTAACACTTCAATCCCCAAACCCAACTTCTCAGAATTGGCTTTTCGTGCCTGGAGAAAAAGATATGACATTGGCCTTTGCACTTTCACCCGATTTAAGTAACCAATCTAATCGCCAGACTCTTGCCACACTCTGAGAATTCATGCTAGCGGTTTTGAGACCCAAGATCCTCAAACAGGACTAAGAGCTGCCAAATGCAAGATGAGGTATCCCCTTTACATACAAATTAACTGTAGTTTGCATTCTTATTATTTATATGGTCAGAAACAGTAAAATTACATTGGTGGTGGACTTCCATGGTTCTACAGATTTTACATAGCTGTTTTAATGAAACTCATGTATAAGTTATCTTTTTATATATATATATATTTTTTTGAGACAGAGTCTCACTCTATCACCCACGCTGGAGTGCAATGGCACAATCTCAGCTCACTGTAACCTCCACCTCCTGGGTTCAAGCGATTCTCCTGCCTCAGCCCCCTGAGTAGGTGGGATTACAGGCGCATGCCACCGTGCCTGGCTAATTTTTGTATTTTTAGTAGAGATGGGGTTTCACCATTTTGGCCAGGCTGGTCTGGAACTCCTGACCTTGTTATCCGCCCACCTCAGCTTCCCAAAGTGCTGGGATTATAGGCAATCTTCAAATGCCTTCCATCTGCCCCATTGTTGGTGATGATGATGACACTATTAATGACAATAGCAGGAGCAGTTAACATTTATTGGGTGCTTGTTACATACCCAGCTCTCTTCTGAGCTCTATGTTTTAAATCTCAATTAATACAGCAGCCCATGAGGCCTTTGTATGCTATGGAAATGGAAGAATTGGGAGACAAAGAAGAGATTATACCAATGAAATTTTGGGAAAACAGTGAGGTCTGGTGAGATGGTGAAAGCTGATGGTGAGCCTAATAGTTTCAATGTTAAACTAATTGTTATGATAGAGCAATGGGCAAAGGACCAGGAATGTTTCAAAGGTGATGCCTGGTTTAGTCCTCAGGAAAACTTTTGTACCAGCCAAAACCTTGGTCATCTCTAGCTGGAGCCTATGCTCCATTGAAGATTGTTTCCTTCATGCTATGTTGCAGGACTTTTCCTTAGTTCAGCTAAAGACGGGGTTCTTTGTCCCCGGCCACAAAAATTCAGATTCATAGACAATTTGAATGGTGAGTAAGACAGGGTTTTTTGGGGTGAAAAGGAAGAAAAGGGGGAAGTAGGGACTTTCCCGAGGCCAGAGTCCCTACTTGAGCGCTTGCCACTCACAGCTTGAATCCCAGGTTCCACACAGGAAGAGGAGGGGCCAGGCTCCAACCCACAGCAAATGGCGTGAACTTTCCGAGGCTCCACTCCAGTGGGCAGGCTAGTTGGAGTTTCTCCAGGGACCCCCTCCCACCTGGCTGTCTCAATTACTAATGGCTATTCTCTGAAAGACTACTGAATTATGTCTTCTTATATCTCCAATGCGGTGTTATGTAGTTCCAGTTCACAGATGTCCTACAGCACACTCAGGCTTGGTGTAAACAGACTTAACAGAGATTCAATGGCCAGTTTCTCGAACGATGCCATCAGCCTCACATAGGTTAGAGCATTAATGTTAAATGCCAGGCAAGCTCAATTGTCCCCACTCTCCACTCCTAACTAGAAGAAAGCTATAGTAGTGATCAATGTGACAGTTTTTAGGTTGTCTGCACAGTTTCTAATTATATGTTGAATTTGTTTGCTCTCACTTCTGAAAATAACTTTGACAGTCAAAGTTGACATGCTTATTTTTTTCCTCACGATATCTCTCAAAAGTTCACATTGCCTCTTTTTATAAATGAGAAAACTGAGCACCAGAGAGGCTAAATAACTAGCCCAAATTCACACAGCTATTAAATGTCAGAATTGGAATTCGAACTGAAACTGCCTGTGCAGATGCACACACACACACAGAAAATGTCAAATATTAGATTTCTAAGCATCTGTTGTATGAAGTAGTGATAAAGGAAATATTAAGGATTAATTGAATTGATGTCCTAGGTGGCCCAATTTGTCATGAATCCTGGGTTCCAGAGGAAAATGGATTAAAATGGGATGATTACAAAAACCATTTTTATCTTATGATGTCTCCAATAGTAAATGACCTGTTAACTGAGCCAGGAGGAACATATCCAGGTGTGAGAAATGGCATCTGTTTATGGTCCTGTATATGCTGTGCTATGCACCTGTTTGCTTAGGGTGAAAACGCACAGATGTCTGCAAGACAACTTAGTCAGTGGTGTGTGGAAATGGTAAGAAAAGGAGCCAAAGACTTCCCAGTTTTTCAAGAGAGAACTCCATGTGGTGAAGGCCAGCCGGGCTGTGTGTATCTGTAGAGTGGGCAGCCCACTTGGACAGATAGAAAAGGCACTTGCCCTTAGGCATAGCTTCACATGGTAGGTATCCACATAGGCACTGCTAACCAATGGTATAGTGTTTCCATGTATAAAATATTTTCATAAACAGGATCTGCAAAAAGACAATTAGATTGTTTATCTAAAAGTGGCCTATACGGGGATACAGCATGCAAAAGAGTTGTACCCTCAAAAGAATTTTTAATTTAAGCATAAGGATAAGCGGTATGTTTTGATACCAGGGATGAGAAGGTTAATAGAATAAGGCACATTTATCTTATAGCTGATTCTTAAAACGATGCATAAAAATGCTGCCTCCCAGAAATGCAGGGACCAATGGGAATTCAAAATAATCAAGATAATTGTGAGATTTCCTATAACTTCTAAATCGCCCTGAGCCTCTCTGTCAGCATAATATGCTTTTGAAAATGCTTCAGTCCCCACTGTACCACTGAGCATTGACATTCTCACCATTATAATTCAGAAAATGATAAAGTAAACAATTCAAGGAACAGTTTAGCCTAATGTATATGCCTATGAGTGTTAACAGAAACAATTTATCATGCCAACAAATATTTAAAGCAGCAATAGGACATGCTCACCAACAGACATACACAGGATTTGGAATTGAAATTCATCTCTTCCATAGAATTGTGTGACCTTGGACAAGTCACTGAATCTATGAGCTCCAAGAGGCACATGTAAAAGTCGATGCTAGTAATTGAGTGCACAGACTCTACAAAGCACTGTAGTAAACATGGAAGTGAGACCTACTTTCTGCTTTCAGTGTCAGCAAAGTTAAAAGACTAGATAATGCATGAGTATAAAGAGGGACCCCAAAAGTGCTACAGGAACTCAAAAACAGGTAAGTCTGTAATGCAGGAGGTTGAACTTGAGCATTCCAAAGAGAATAATTAGTTTGGAAAAGGCACATCAGTGTAAAGATAAATATTTGGTGAAAGGCAAGCTGAAATGGAAGGTCTATGAAACAAAGCAATGGGATCTATAACTTGCAAGACAAGTTGACTCTGATCACAGGTTACAGTGTACCTTGAAAGCAGAAGTTTGGAGTTCATTTTTAAGCAGGGACATAATTCAACAAATTAATGCTTTATAAATATTCTGAATACTTCATAAATGTTAAATTGGGCATATAAATATAGGATGATTTGAAAAAAGAAAGACTAGAAGCAAAAATGATAATTTAGGAAACCACTGCAGTAATATACTTAAAAGGTAGAGAGACCTATATGGGAATGGGAATGGAAAACTATGAGGTGGTAAAGACTGACCTGCTGCAATAATTGACTGAAAAGCAAATAGGGAGGAAAGAAGTGGTTGAGGCTTAGAACCTGAGTTATAAAAAGAAACCAGGTGCCAGTGACAGAGATGTTCAGAGGAAGTGCCAGCTTCAGGAGAAATAAAGACAGATGGCAGGGATTAAAGGAGTAAGGAGGTAGTGAGATACACACCTACTGCTAGAAAAAGCCTATATTCCCATGCATGGAACACTAAGAATCCTTCTGATGAGGGGTCACAAGAAGAGGAGAGCTGTAGAGAGAGAATTAATCTTCTTAGAGATTAGTTGGATGGCTGTGATTACAATGCTGATAGTAATACGGCCAGTAAAGGCAATTCTGCTGAGGTCTTAAATGGAAATGGGGAATATCCTATTGGAAACTGGAAGACAGACCATCCTTATTACAAAGTTCCAAAGAACTTGGCTGAACTATGCCCTAGTCCCTTGTGGAAGGCAGAATTTAAGAGTGATAAACTAGGATATTTGGTGGAAGAAATCCTTAAAGAAAGTGTTCAGGGCTTCCTGGCTTCTCTTGATTGCTTAAAACAGAATATGAAGAGAGAGAAATAAAGATGAAATGTATAATCAAAGAGAAGCAGAATTTAAAGATTTAGAAAATTCTCAGCCTGGTCAGATTGTGAAGAATAAAAAAGTATTTTCAGAAAAAAAACAAAACAAAACACTAAGGATGTAGACAACCAAACATTTGATATGGAAATTAGTGGGGGTTGAAAGAAGATGGGTGCTATTCATCAGGACGATGGAAGAATGATCCTGAAGGCATTTCTGAGACCTTTGTGGCTGTCCCACCCACATAGGCCCAGAAGGCCAGGGCCTTGATGGAAACATGATTTCAAGAGAGGATTCCTGTGAGACCTCAGAGCTTGCTGCCCCAGGCTGCCTCAAGTCTTTGCTCCCCACATGCCAGTGCAGTGCGCCTCTGCCACTCAGGCAGGCCCAGGTTCAGCTCAGGTCACCACTCTGGAAGGCACATGCTGTAAACCATAGCAGCATCCATACAGTGCTAACTCTGCAGGAGATACAGAAGCATAGCTCCTCCACTTAGATTTCAAAGGATATTTTGGAGAGGCTTGGGGTTCAGACAGAGAATTGCCATGGAAGCAGGGCCACCACAGAGAGCTCCCACTATGGCAGTGGTAGAACTGTGAGGGCAGAGCTGCCCCAAACACCCCAGACTTATAGAGCCACCAGCATGCAACACTAACCTAGGAGTAGTCACAAGCACCCAACTTCAATTCCTGACAGCTCCTGTCAGGGGGGCACTGCTATGTGGGGCCCTGGGGACCCAAACTCCACCCCAGTATGTCCAGAAGGTCAGACATGGAGTCAAAAAAGATTATTCCCAACTTTCAAGATTTAATGTTGTTTGCTTTGTTTTATGTTGGGCTTTTCCCTTTGTTACCTCTTTTTTCTTTCTGATTTCTCTTTTTTAGGAATGGGAATGTCTATGCTATGCCTGTTCCACTATTTTATTGTGGAAACACATAACTTGTTTGATTTCACAAGCTCACAACTGGAGGAGGAATTTGCCTCAAGATGAATCATGCCTTGAGTTTCACTCCTATATGATTTAGATGAGACTTTAGACTTTTGAGTTGACGCTGAAATGACTTAACTCTTTGGAACCTACTGAGGTAGAATCAATGTATTTTGCTTATGTGAAGGACATAAATTTGGGGGGCCAGAGGTAGAATGCTATGTACTGAATATGTCCCCTAAAATTCACATGTTGAAACAATCGCCAGTGTGATAGTGTTAGGTGGGGCCTGTAGGAGGTGATGAAGTTATGAGGATGGGAGCCTTCATCAATGGGACTGGTACAAGGGAGCATCTGTCCCTTTCCCCTTTTTGCTCTTCTGCAATGTGAGGATGTAGCAAGAGGCACCATCTTAGAAGCAGAGAGACCTCACCAGACAATAAACCTGCTGCTACCTTGATCCTGGACTTTCCAGCCTCCAGAACTGTGAAAAATAAATTTCTATTATTTATAAATTACCCAGTCTGTGGTATTTTGTTATAGCAGCAGGAATGGACTAAGACACACACACACATACACACAGAGAGAGAGAGAGAGAGGGAGAGAGGAAGAGAGAGAGAGAGAGAGAGAGACTGTTTCTTTCTACTCAGTATGGTATTTAAAAGGAATTAATATTAAACATTTCAGAAACCACTCCATATCACTGAAGATATTCTACATTTTTCTGGCCATAGTCCATGGAGATCAAGCTTTATTGTCAGGCCATGTCTTTCCCAGACTTTATAAAATCTGTTTACAAGGAGAGAAGGTTGCAGCAACTAGTCATTTGCTCTGCTTAATCTAAGGTAAAGCTCCTCTCAACTACCAGAAGACAGGGTCGCTGATAGCCATGATCTCATAGTAACATTTGACATGACAGCTTGCAGCATATAGGCTAATGGGCTCAGTAAAGAAAGAACAGGTGACGAACCTTTCTTATAGTACTGGCTGATTAAAAAGATGCCAGAGGACATGAGGGAGAAAAAGTTCCCTCCTCTCAGCAAAGCTGTTTGTGTACACCATTCATTCAGATAGGCTCTAGGAGTATCCAGGCCATCACTGAGGAGCACTCATAACAAAAGCCATTTTTCAAGAGAGACATAGATAATGGCCTCAGATTTCCAGCTCACTTACTTGTGCCATCACTAAAAAAGTCCATAAGGAACACGGATTGGAATTCTGGTAAAACCAGAAGCCACTGTCAGGTCACATTCAGGTGATGGCTGTGTGACCTTAACAATGACCACTAAGGTCAGGCCTGATCTATTCCATCTGAAGAACTATTCTTCATTAGAAAATACACTGAGCCACTAAGCTGGCTTATTTTTCTTTTCCCTCCCCTCCCATTTCTTCCTCTCCCTACTTCCATGTTCAATAGCCCACAAGGATGGATGGGAGTATTTACCTTAGCCCTTGTCATCTGCTCAATACGGGTTAGGAGGTCATCTACTTCTAGCTGCAAGTCACTCTTGTCTTTTTCCAGTTTCTGCTTGACCTGCTGTAGATTTTCTACCTGGCCCTCGAGCTCAGCCAGGCTGTCTGCATGTCTCTTCTTCAAAGATGCAGAAGTTGCCTCAAAGTGCAGCGTGGCCTCTTCCATGTCTCGGCGCAGCTTCTGGAATTTGGTTTCCTGTTTCTTAGTTATTTCCAGCTGCACCAAACTGGCTCCTCCTACCTCCTCCAGTCTCTCATTCAAGTCAGCCAGGTCTTGGGTGAGGTCAGCTCTCTCCTTTTCCATCTTGGCTCGAGTGGTCCTTTCAGCTTCTAGTTTCTCTTTCAAATCCTTTATTTGAGTCTGTAGCAAGAAATAATTTTGATTTTTACTAAGCACTTGTAGCAAGAGCTTTACTCTATTTTTTTTTTAATCACAAAGCTAACATGAACCTTTTGGTTCCCAATTTATAACTAAAGAAAACAGAATACACAGAAGTTAAGTGATTTGCCCCAATTCAATACCAAGACCAGAATTAGAATTTGCAGTTCTGCCAAATTGCTCAGCCCCTGATGATGGGCAAGCTCATTAAATTATATACATGGAGGGGAAAGCTTAGTAAAGAGCACTTCCCAAAGAAACAGGAAAATATCTTTCATGTGACAAAAAAGTGTTTAAGAGCATTCATAAAAATTGGAATGGTAAATTTTATACACAAAAATCTTCCTCATCTGAAATTCGTTTATCTGATCTCACCTATCTAGGACTTGGGCAAAAATCTGATCAATAAAATGAACATCTTCAAGTTCAAGCAATTTACTTGTAAGAAACAGCCTCAATTTAATTTTTACACACAATTCTAAAAAACTTGGTTACTTGGTTTTCTAATCTACAGGAGATTTCAAGGAAGAGATTTGAAATAACAAAGGAGAGTTGGTGAAGGAATGTGGACTACTAAAGTGAGTAGAGACACGGTATCATCAGAAGCAGGATTATTGGAAAAAGAAGTGATAACTCTCAGAGCCCCAAGCCCTTTTAGTACAGGTCAAATAGGTCTACAAATAATGATAACATCACTGTATTACAGTACAATGAAGCCATTGATGTTACTATCATCACCTTAAGTAATTAGGCATAGATTAGGATGGGGAGAAAACAAGATAGAAACTGTTTTAGAATATGTTTTCCTTTCCATTAAATAAGACTACTGTGGCTTAGAAAAAACTAATTTCTAGATTGTATCAAATAAGTAGTCTATCAGTTCTATAGATGAGGTATGACAGAAAAGGTGCTTAAAAAAAAAGTATGATTTCCACATTCAAGTAACCATGATCCTCTTCCAACTGGTTATCATGGGATCCAAGAAAATATTTATCCCAGATAATACCACCATTGAACCAAATATTTCTGAAATGTTTTGTCAGAAATAATATTTAGAGAACTTTTTGAGTCATCAAGGTAAGGAAATTTGTCTTTTGGATATATTGAAAAGTTTGTGGGTTTTTTAAATGTTTATTTTTATTTTGGATAAAGTCAATAGTCATTTGAAGACAAGCCTGATGAATATGATAACCACTTGGAGATTAATAGCATGTCTGAAACTAAAATATGTTTACAAAACATTGAGATTGGTTTTCTTATTTGGCTCAAAATATCTCAGAAGATAAATATCAGAAAGAGGTTCCAAAATTATTTTGAGTCATGGTTATATTACTAAGATATTTATTTAGCTCCAAAGGGAAATTATCCATCTAAATGTGTGTGTGTGCATCTGTGTGTAAAATTACTTTATAACATGGTCATATGCTATAAAACTCACATGGTCTAAAACTTATAAATAGCTATCCATTATCAAATAATGTTTTGAGGCCACAAGTACCTATATAACTTATTGATTTTCAATCGCCTTCTAATCACAAAGAATAATCATCATAAAAATTAAATTGCTAACACTGAATGCATACCATGGGTCAGGCACTGTGCTTACTACTTAAATATATTGTTGCATTTAATAATATGAGCTCAATGGTTGCCAGAAGGATTCATGAGTGAAAAAAAACAAGTTTTGGATTTTAGCACAATGCCTGGTTCACAGCAAGGATTCAACAAATTAACTATTCATTTTTATTATTCTTACAAGGAAATTTAAGCTTAAATCCATCTGTGGAATGCCACAATTTCCTTTCTTAACCACTGTTCTTTTCTGCCTCTGCCTGTGATTGGCTAAGGATATGAATACCTTGACAGAGAATTTGTCATTGACCCACGAGTCATCACCCATGGATCTAAATGTAAGTACACAGGCATATTTGATAATTGATTACCTGAAGCTCTTTAACCATCTTCTGAAGCTGAGCTACCAGGCCTTTCTCATTCTCCACTTTTGAATTCATCTGACTGTTTTCTAATTCTTTTCTGTTTAGAAGAAGATATCAAATACAATTGTTCAGATTAATAACATTTTGTTTAAAGTAGTTAGAATTGTAATATTCCTAACACAAAGAAAAGATAGATGTTTGAGGTGATAGATATCCCAATTACCCTGATTTATTCATTGTACATTGTATACAGGTATCAAAATAGCACATGCACTCCAAAAACATGTACAATTATTATAAATCAATAAAAAACACAGCCAGGCTTTAACCAAAGGTAAAAATACCATTTTGTTTAAATATTTTTTTAATTATAGATATAATACAATAATTCATTCTCATTTTAAAACTTCAATGATTATGCCTACATCTGAAGTTTTCTTGGCTATGATACCTGATATGGTTTGTCTATGTCCACACCTGAATCTCATCTTGAATTTCCACATATTGTAGAGGGGATCCAGTGGGAGGTAACTGAATCATGGGGGCAAGTCTTTCCCGTGCTGTTCTTGTGGTAGTGAATAAGTCTCACAAGATCTAATGGTGTTATAAAGAGGAGTTCTCCCGTACAAGTTCTCTCTTTTTGCCTGCACCATCCATTTTAGATGTGCCTTGCTCCTCCTTGCCTTCCACCATGATTGTGAGACCTCCCCAGCCATGTGGAACTGTAAGTCTGTTAAACCCTTTTTCCTGTATAAATCACCCAGTCTCGGGTAACTCTGTATCAGCAGTGTGAAAATGGACTAATATAGTAAATTGGTACCAGTAGGTGGGGCACTGATGAAAAGATACCCGAAAATGTGGAAGCGACTTTGGAACTGGGTAACAGGCAGAGGTTGGAACAGTTTGGAGGGCTCAGAAGAAGAAAGAAAAATGGGGGAAAGTTTGGAACTCCCTAGAGACTTGTTGAATAGCTTCAACCAAAATGCTGATAATGAAATGGACAATGAAATCGTAGCTGAGGCAGTCTCAGATGGAGATGAGGAACTTGCTGAGAACCAGAGCAAAAGTGGTTCTTGTTATGTTTTAGCAAAGAGACTGGTGGCATTTTGCCTCTGCCCTAGAGACTTGTGTAACTTTAAATTTGAGAGCGATGATTTAGGGTATCTGACAGAAGGAATTTCTAAGCAGCAAAGCATTCAAGAGGTGACTTGGGTGCTGTTAAATGCATTCAGTTTTGGTTTTTTTGGTGTTTTGTTTGTTTGTTTGTTTTTGAGACTGAGTCTCGCTCTGTCACCCAGGCTGGATTGCAGTGGCACAATCTTGGCTCACTGCAACCTCCACCTCCCAGGTTTAAGCAATTCTCCTGCCTCAGCCTCCCGAGTAGCTGGGACTACAGGCTCATGCCACCATGCCCAGCTAATTTTTTGTCTTTTAGTAGATGAAGGGTTTCACTGTGTTGCCCAGGCTGTTCTCTAACTCCTGAGCTCAGGCAATCTGCCCGCCTCGGCCTCCCAGAGTGCTAGGATTATAGGCGTGAGCCACCGCACCCCGCACCCCGCCTGCATTTCAGTTTTATAAAGGAAAGCGAACATAAAAGTTTGGAAAATGTGAAGCCTGACAATGTGATGAAAAAAAAAATCCCATTTTCTGAGAAAAAATTCAAGCCAGCTGCAGAAATTTGCATAAGTAACAAGGAACCAAATGTTAATCCCCAAGACAACTGGGGAAAATGTCTCCAGGCCATGTCAGTGGTCTTCGCTACAGACCCTTCCCTCACAGGCCTAGAGGCCTAGGAGGGAAAAGTTGGTTTCATGGGCTGGGCCCAGGATACCCGTGCTGTGTGCCGCCTAGGGACTTGGTGCCCTGCGTCTCAGCTGCTCCAGTCATGGCTGAAAGGGGCACAACATAGAGCTTGAGTCATGGCTTCAGAGGGTGCAAGCCCCAAGCCTTGGCAACTTCCACCTGGTGTGGAGCCTACAAGCACACAGAAGTTACATTGTTATATTTAATATTTTATATATATTGAATTGAGAATGT